TACTGAAAAACAACCAACAATATTTTTGATAGAACTTATTATATTAAATTGATCTTAATACTTTATAATTAACTAGTATTAGTATATATTTCGCACAGGAAAGATATAGTTTTAAAGATTAATTAAAAGTGTGAAATAGTAAACTTGAAATATTCACACAGAGGCTACAGAGCAACGAGTACTAGATAAATATATTTTCTTTTAATTACAATTTAAGTTACCGTTTTTTTAACTCTTTATAGAAGAGAGCTGCTGGTTAAAGCCAAAGGCATCACAAAAAGATAGGTAATGGGAAATCGATTGGAGTTTGGGTTGATCTTTGGATAAATGAAGACCATCCTAGAGTATCTTGGATGATTCTAGTTGATCTATACTTGACAGTTTGATAAATTCATGGTCGATAACAACTCCAGCTGGAAGTATGATATGCTTGAAGATCTTTTTTTTCCTAGGGATATAGAATTGATTCTTAAGATCAAGTCCATGAGAATCCAAAATGATTATTGGATATGAAAACATAACAAATGTGGTGATTTCTTAGTAAAATCTGCTTGTTGGATTGCTCATACAGCAAATAAAGAGGAGCTGTTTTCAGAAGCTGCAATGCTAAAAAAAAACTTGGAATCTCTTTAGGGTTCCGAAAATTAAAGCCGTTGTGTTGAGAGTGTTAACTGAAGCGGTTCCAGTGGCGGATAATATCAACAAGAAAGGGATGAATGTGGATTCTCGGTGTCAAACTTGTAAAAGTGAAGGTGAATCTTCAAATCAAATCACGTCCTTTTACTTGTTCTTTGGCAAAACAGGTATGAGCTCTACATGAGTTTTCTTTGCCTCAAGGAGGGTTCCATCTTGATTCTTTATGTGAATTTGCACTTCATGATGTTAGGATTAAGATTATTAGAAGATTTTTTCCTTGGATTATTTGGTTTCTCTTGAAAAACAGAAACAAATTTCTTTTTGAAGGAATTACTTTATGTCCTTTAGACATAGTTAGTAAAATCATAGAAGAAGCAAATTTGTGGTTTTTGGCTCAAAAAGTGAAACTAGAGTCAAACGAAATAATTATCTTAGGAAGAAGCAGAAAAGGAGCGCATTGGAAACTATCTCCTTCAGATTGGGTATAAATGTAATGTAGGTGTTACTTGACATATATATAAAAACATTGCAGGTTATACTTGGGTTTTAAAAAATCATGATGGTGGTCATGATGCATAATAGGAAAAGTCTAGGTGGCGTGAAAAGCAAAGACCAAACAAAAGCTCCTTTGTTTGGCTTGGGCAATTGAAAGTATGAAGTTTCATAAGTTGAATCAAGTTATTTTTGCAGTTGAGGCTCATGACTTGATTAGTGTGTTGACAAGGCCAAAGGCGTGGCCATCTTATAAAGAGGAATTTACTTTCCTTAATCATTTTTTGGTTACTATTAAAGACTGCGATTTGGAGTTAGAAGTTAGGCATAGGAACAAAACAGTTTTTCTCATAGCTCAGAGTGTTACAATGGAGAATCAATGGCAGCCTTATGTTGCATCAAGTTCTCCTTTTTGGCTTCGTAACATTTTTGTTTCTGAAAAAACTAATGCCTCTGTTTCTTTCTGATCTGAAGTCCGAGGTTGTTTTTGTTTGTTAGTTTTATGGGTAAATAAGGATCTTAATGTCTTTTGTTTTCGTAGCTTATCTTGTTGTATTCTACTCTTGTAATCATCATTGACATATTCTTATATATAACACTAGGTATATAACTCGCGAGTCTGTATTAATATTTTGATTTAATATTTTTAGCTATTATCTTTAAAATTATTAAAAAATATAATATATTTATAGAAATTTTCATTTATATAAGAGAATTTAATATATAATGTGTAATTTATCCTATTTTATTTATAAATTTTAAACAACTATTAAGTAAAATAATAACAATGACATCTATCGAATTATCTAATTTTGACGTATATGTACATTTGATTTAGAGAAATATAATCTTGCTAATATTTTGGTATTATTTTCTGTTTTTCATAGAATTTCTATAGTTCTTTTTTTCTTGAAGGTTTATGTGTTCAAATATATAGTTATTTTATTAAAAGTCTTATTGATCTTGTGTACTACTGCATATATAATCCATAATTCATGTTGATTCGCATTTAATTTTGTTAGGAAGCTGTAATGATCATACAAAACCTTTTTTCCTTCTCCATCATGTATACCAAGAGTTTTATGTTATACTTTTATTCAGTTTTCATTATTTTAATTGTTAAATAGAGTTGTTGTATATTTTTTTAAATTGATAATGGTTACTTTTTTAAAAACATGTATTGTTAATTGTTAATTTTTTTATTTAACTTTTAAAATTTTAAACCATATTAATATTTTCTGATTTAATAAATATGTTGATTTGGATCAATCAGATTGAATTTACTTTTTTTCTTATTTTTTCATTATTATATATTTAATAAATATGTTGATTTGGATCAATCAGATTGAATCAGATCATGCAAAACTATTTTTCCCTTCTCCAACATGTATATCAAGAGTTTTATGTTATATTTTTATTCAGTTTTCATTATTTTAATTGTTAAATAGAGTTTTTGTAATTTTTTTAAAATTGATAATGATTACTTTTTAAAAAAACATGTATTGTTAATTTGTTTTATTTAACTTTTAAAATTTTAAACCATATTAACATTTTCTGATTTAATAAATATGTTGATTTGAATTAATCAGATTGAATTTACTTTTTTTGTTGGACATAATTTGTTAAATTAACTTTTAATGTTTTAATTATAGTTAATGATTTTTGGTTTGATTAAAAAGTTAATGTGGACCAATTAAATCAAGTTTTTTCGTTCTAATCATACTTAACATTTTTTATTTAATGAATATGCTGATGTGGACCAATCAGATCAAGTTTTTAATCCTATGTAGACGCCCTCAATGCACTATGCCTTCAACTTTTATATATTATATGATTCAGTTGAACAAAGAAATGCATTGAGTTATAAATGTGAAAGTTAGATTTACATATTTTTTTACGATGATTATATAATATGCTGTTTTTGACTAATATACTAAAATTTCTATAAATTAATAATGTTTGGATTATGAAAGTTTATAAAAATTTATTAATTTATAAATATATTATTTGGTTGATAAACCAATTTTTAAACTAACAAAAAATATTAATTTATTGAAGTATTAATAAACTGAGTATTAATTTATAGAAGTTCTATTGTATAGTGTTATTATACACCATAATTTGTATAAGACTTCCTTCATTTTGAGTCAAAAACATATTAGCTTTTAGATCATTGTCTGTTTTTTACAGCACTTTAATGACTAGACTATTCATAATTGATTTATCATATATTTAAATTTAGACGTAATTACATTGATCTTTGATGTTTTGAAAACAACAACATACGGTAACTGTAAGTAGTTTAATATATAATATAAATATCTCATTTTATTTCCTTAATCTTGTCATCTTGAAAATTTGTCTCCGTCGTTCTTCCTTTGATTCAAATTCCTTCGTTGTTATTGTCGTTTACATCTTTCTCGAAAAGCCACAAGCCCTTCTTTGTTATGAATGTGTTAGAGGGGAAATAAACATATATTCTAAAAGGCTTTCTCTAGCAACAATCTAAATTCATCAAGATAAAGAAAATTACTTCGATTTAGGAATTAAAAAAAGAATCTTTAAAGATATTGAAAAACTTCCAAATAATAAGGAAAAGAAGAACTTTTCCTAAACGGAAAAGAAGAAATATTCCTAAATCAAAAAGAGAAACGAGGTCAAAGAAACTGACCTCATTCTTATAAATATAGAGCTCTTCATAAGTTGAAGACAAGGGAAAACGGGATAAAACTCCCACCTAAAGCAATCACCAAAAAAATCTATAATCTAGAGAGAAGATCTAATTCTCTCTAGATTTCTTCTATCTAAACATTTTGCACGCGAAGCAGACTTTCTTAAAGGTCCAGCTATAACTTGATAAAAACTTCAAGTAGTTCATCTTTTCGATGATCTAATCTCCGAGCTCCAATTTGATATTCTCTAAAACCCAAACCGTAAATCACTTAAACCTAGTGGTGATTTTCTAGTTCAACAGAATGCATCTCCATGAGACTCGGCTTATTTCTTAATTTGTTGTTGTCATCTTTTCTAGCTTGAACGTTTTTGACTTTTTATTTGTCTTCCATGCCGTAGGCGCTATTATTTGCTATTGTCATCCCAGTTGTTTTTATCATCATGGATTATATAGTTACGTATAGACAGAGTATACCAAAGTCAGAAGCAATCATTTAGTTGTCAAACAATTAGTGAATTACAAAACAATGTAATGCAAATCACAAATAAAGTAATACTAGTAGAAAGATGAGTTTTCACGTGTGGACTCGATCGATCCTTGAAAAACTAGATTTTAAAGCTCCAAGTTACGTACTTATCCTACGGAAACACATCAATTTTGAACCTGAAAACTATTCGCATCTTGGACATATCAATAATTCAAATTTCCTATTCTCATGATCAGATATTTTATGTAGTCATTTAAGTAACACACAAACATTAATTTTGGAAGTAAACGTCGTTACTTTCATCAAGTTCACCAAGTCGATTCATCATTCTAATTGTATCCCCGGCCGTCTGTGGAAACAAGAAAAATATCATGTTCCTTTGATGCATCCTGTTGCAATTCAGAGATATAGTATCTTTATTTATTTTATTTTATTTGAACATTTTGATATTTGGTTCAGTTATTTTTATCAAAGCAATGACAGAATAGGAGCTACAAGGCGGGAATGTCTTTGTAGATTTACCATTGGGTCCACAAATAACCATATTTGCGTAAAGCAAATTCAAACGTAAAATATAATTTTTATTTATTCTTTTTCACTTTCCTGTAACTTTGTTTCTAAATATAAAAATAATGGGAACCAATAACTTTACCCTGTAATTAGATTTTTTTCCTTTCCTTTTCTTTATTATTTTTAAAGTTAAAAGAGAGAAAAAAACTGGAAATTTTTTTTTAAAAAAAAAAACGAGCAAAAGATGAACCTCCTCTTTTCACCGTACTGATAATTTATCGTTGAGTTTCTTCGAGATCATTCCTGTGGTATGGTAACGTATTTCAGAATTGCAGCTAGTTATATGGATTGATTTGTTCATCGTTATGGTATTGTTTACTATAAATGATTTTCTTTTGGAATATTATTTTATCTGTTTCACAAAATTGTTGTTTTAGGCATTTTTGTTTCGTTTCATTTAAATTGATATGTTTTTTTTTTTTTTTGAACATTTTAGATTGATATGTTTTGTATGTTTTGTAAATTTATACAGAATATTGTAGTGTTCAAGAATAACAAACGAATTCAAATGGTATGTTAGGCCATTCAAATGTTTCATAATATGTGTGAAGAATTCTACAGTATCATTCTTTGTGAAACAGAAAAAGAATTTTTTTTTTTATGGAATCGAAAGAGTTAGGTTTAGCCTAGTTAGCTTATTAGAGGTCAATTTGGTACTTGAAAGTTTATCGTATGTAGAAAGTCTGATTATGCTCATGAAATGATGTATTTGGTTTTATATATAGGTCTAGAAATGAACAACCGAATTAAAGAAGGATCCAGCATGATTTGTGCTTATGGTCGTTCAGATGGATCAAGCAGCATTATGAGTTTTGATGGATCAGAAACTCGTCAAAGTACAGATGATAATAAACAAGGCACTGGTTTTTTTTTCATAACTATCTTTTTTCATTTTTTTTTATGATGATACTGTAGTTGTTTCTTAAATAGGTTATACTTAGCCTCTTCTCTTTATTTTTTTTTGGACAGTTACTTTATAGCGTCTTCTCTTTGTTCTTAACCATTTTAATTTGGCTTGTAGCTCATCAAAGTTTAGTGGAGTGGTTAAATGAGACACTTCCTTATTTAAAGTTACCATGGGAAGCTTCAGAGGAAGATTTGAGAGCATGTTTGATGGATGGTACTGTCTTTTGCAATCTCTTGAATCAGCTCAGTCCCGGTTCATTGAAAATGGTACTTGATTTATGTATACACTTATTGGTTTTTCTATATATTGAAAATTTTGTATATTTGTTTTTTATCCCAGTCATTTTCTGCTGGATTCATTTTCTTTGGTCTGCCTGTAGGGAGGTAGTTTTGAGCTTGCTTCTTTAAATATTGAGAGATTTTTGACAGCTATGGATGAAATGGCCTTGCCTAGATTTGAGGCTTCAGACTTACAACAGGTTTGTTTTTGTTTCCCTTGATAAAATGCTTCATTTTTGTTTGAAATTTTAGGTGAGGGTATTAGATCAAACATTTAAAATGATATAATGTTTGAAAAGTTTGTAGATGCATGATTTTAATGATTTAGGTGAATTTAAGAAAGACTTATGAATACCGATGCAGGGAGATATGGTTCCAGTTTTACAGTCTCTTAAAGCGCTTAAAGCTAGTTTCTCTGATAATGGATATGATAAGAATACACTTTGTGCAATGAGACGATGGAGTTGGCCTGAGGATCATTCAAATTTAAAGGGACTTGATAGCAACTTTAATGATGGACTACAGTTGAAGGAAGGATCCGAGATCAATATATCTCATGCCAAAATTTTGGACTTACTAAAATCAAACAATTTACAAGTAAAATGTTCTAACAGTATTTAGTTAATTTTGTTTCAACTTTGCTAATTATAATTTGAATAAACCCTCAATAACTCAGATTTCTTTTTCCTTTCTCTTGATAGAATACTTCTACTCGATCATTGTTCGATATGCTCGATAAGCTTCTTGACGAGAGCGTGCAGAAGATGAATGTGGATGTGTCTCATGTAAGGAGAGGATTTTGCATAGTTCATGAAATTTATCTTTCTCTAACTTCATTTTTGTGTGGTTGCTCTGTTTTTCAGGCTTTTGCGTCTATTTTGAGAGGCATTGTGGAAGTAGTGGAACAACGGATCTCAAATCAAGCTGAGAACCTAAAGAATGTATTATTAATTCAAGTTTTTTTAAAAATTATATATATATATATATATATATTTCGTTTTCATGATTATAACTGATTGACACATCGTGAAACATGCTTGTGCAGCAAAATATACTCTTTAGGGTTCGTGAAGAAAAATATAGATCAAGAATAAAAGTATTAGAAACTTTGGCATCTGGTACAACAGATGAGAAGGAGGTACTATTTATCATTTTTTCTCTAGTTGAAAAAAATTATTTATTTTTGCCATTTTGTGAAAATTTTAAATTGTTTTGCTATGTTGTGATCTCTAGCTAGTGTCAGAAGAACAAGATGTGCTCCAACTGAAAAAGGAAAGAGAGCGCAGGGATGCTGATATTTCTAAGTTAAAGCAAGAACTTGAACTTGTGAAAGAGACACATGAAGAACAGTTTTTGAATCTAGAATCAAATGCTCAGATAGCTAAGATTGAGTTGGAGAAGCAATTAAAGGACTCAGAGTTACGTGTAGTAGAGTCAACCGAAAAAGCGAAAGAACTCGAAAATTTATGGGAAACTAAAAGTAAAAGATGGGAGAAGAAAGAGCAAACATACAAGAGTTTTATATACCACCAGACAGAGGCTTTGCAGGTATATTGACTTTCTTGATAGTTTTGTAAATATGATTAGCTCTTGTAAATTAATTAGGTTTTAAATATAAATGCGCGGTTGAGAAAAAAAAAAAAGAAAAAAAAAGATGTTCTTGTAATTCTTGTAATTCTTCAACTATGTAGGAGTTGAGAGCTACCTCAATGTCTTTAAAACAAGAAGTCCTAAAGGCAAGAGAAAACTACTACCAAGATCTAAATTACTACGGTAATATCGATTTTGTTTTTCTGTATCTTTTTTTGGCTTCAGTGTTTTCTTAATTTTTTTACTTTTAATTTACCTCTTAGGCTTAAAGCTCAGAGGAGTGGTTCATGCAGCAAAAAATTACCAGGTAGTTGTTGAAGAGAATCGAAAGCTTTACAATGAAGTGCAAGAACTAAAAGGTATAAATTGCATAATCGTTATTTTCAAAAAAAAAAATTGCATAATCGTGTTTTGCCGCCAATAAATTAGAATCAGATGTTGGCAACAAAAAATTGAAATCTAATTGCGGCACCAATATTGCGGAATCATGGAATCGTGATTTTGTTTCGGTGTTAAAGCTGGAGAATCTAGTTAAAAATAAAAACAAATATGCCAACTAAAAACTAAATTTGAAACTTTTTTTACTGAAAAATAAAATTCAATAAACTATTTCATTAGAATTAAAATAGCGACCAAAAAATTTGTTCAAGCATTTGTAGACTGAGTATAAGTTTACTCCTTGCCATCTTTTAATTTGTATTTTACGTTGCTTGCACAAAGGAAACATTAGAGTCTACTGTCGGATAAGACCATTCCTCGAAGGGCAAAACAAGTCAGAAACATCAATAGAGTACACAGGTGAGAATGGTGAGCTGGTTGTTGCAAACCCCTTAATGCAAGGCAAAGATACTCACAGGTTCTTTAAATTCAACAAAGTCTTTGGCCCTGCATCAACTCAAGGTTTTAGCCTCTTCTGCTTCTTCTTTGTTTCATACAATGATTAAAAATAAAAAATAAGGAATTGTACTGAAACTTGTTTAATCATGCAGAGGAAGTATTCTTAGATACCCGACCATTGATTCGTTCCATTCTTGATGGCTATAATGTGTGCATATTTGCTTACGGTCAAACGGGTTCGGGAAAGACTTATACAATGGTAAGAATTACATAATTTGATTTCGTTCTTTATGAGTTTACGTCAAATATTCTTTATTTTTCATTTTGCTCACAACAGAGCGGACCAAGCATAAATTCAGAAGAAGATTGGGGTGTAAACTATCGAGCTTTAAATGACTTGTTTCACTTAACTCAAAGTAGTCAAAACACAGTCATGTATGAAGTTGGTGTTCAAATGGTTGAGATTTACAATGAGCAAGTTCGTGACCTACTTTCTGATGATGGTCCCAATAAAAGATATCCTTCTCTAAGTCTAATCCAAGTATATATTCGACATCTTATCGTTTCTTTTATGTTACAAATATACATTTTCCTTAACTTGCACACACTTGGGATTTGGAATACCGCCTTACCAAATGGACTCGCAGTTCCTGATGCAAGCATGCATTGTGTAAGATCAACTGAAGATGTTCTTGAATTGATGGATATTGGTTTGATGAACAGAGCTGTTGGAGCCACAGCTCTTAATGCAAAAAGCAGTAGATCACACAGGTTTAAGATAGTTTTTTCATTAAATATTTATACATTGTTGCATAGATATTTAAGCTTAACACATTGTCTGGTTATCTTTTTTTTTGCAGTGTTCTTTCTGTTCACGTACGCGGTGTTGATGTCAAGACTGACTCCATATTGCGTGGTAGTTTGCACTTGGTTGATCTTGCTGGAAGTGAGAGAGTCGATCGCTCTGAAGTAACTGGAGATAGACTCAGGGAAGCTCAACATATAAACAAATCATTGTCAGCTCTTGGAGATGTTATTTTCGCTCTAGCACATAAGAACCCTCATGTACCTTATAGAAACAGCAAGCTTACACAAGTCCTCCAAAATTCTTTGGGTACTATGATATACTTTGATGAATTTTTTCGATTATTCGACATTTTTTGTTTGTTTTAATAACTCTTTTGTTTTGGTTTTGTTAGGAGGACAAGCCAAAACTCTTATGTTTGTTCAGATTAATCCTGATGAAGGTTCATATGCTGAGACAGTAAGTACTTTGAAATTCGCGGAAAGAGTTTCTGGTGTCGAGTTAGGTGCAGCGAGAAGCTATAAGGAAGGACGAGATGTTAGACAACTCATGGAACAGGTGCTTATAATATTTCTGATATATTAACGTAACACACATATAATGATGTCTTAAAGTAATATGTGAGATATGTACACTATTATTAAATATAAATTGTATTTGTATATGATAATCCTTGAATCTTTATATTGCATGTAGGTATCGAACTTGAAAGATATGATTGCCAAGAAAGACGAAGACCTTCAAAAGTTTCAAAACGTAAACGGTATCCAAAAACGTGGATTAAGCAATCTAAGATTTGAGTCTCCTTCGCCTAGAAGACATTCATTAGGAGGAGCTTCACCAAATGCTTCAAGACGAAAACAAGGATCTGGTTTACTTAGAACAACTTCAGATTCAGCTAGACATAATGAATCATCGTCTAAGTTTTCTGGTGCGGCTAAAGACAATAATATATATATCTCAGGATATTAAACTCTTATTAGGCAATATAGATTCAGATTATGAATAAAAATTGAGTGATATATCTGATAGATTTCTTTCAATGGGAACAGAAACTGATGGCTCAATTAGTAGCAGAGCAATGGAGTTGAGTCTCTTCCCTGAAACCTCAAATCCTCCTGAAATGTCTGAACAATCTGAACAAAGTGAAAAGTGAGTATTTACATCCAAATTAATTTCAATTTCAAATCATATAATTTCATTAAGAGTTAAACTTTTGTTTAGTGTTAATTGTGTCTGTGTACTAATTGTAGAGCAAATGCTGGACCATCAAAGTCACTGAAGCATACACCAAGACCAGACCAAACTAGACCTTCTCGTCTGTCCATTTCCACATCCTCCTCCTCCAAAGCTTTAACAAGTAATCTCACTATCGACTCTTTTAATACATTTGTCCTTAGAACCAAAGCTTCTTGTCAAGTTATAAAGTATATAAACATGAGATCCTATTTGTCCATATATAGTGTTTGGCATGAATCATGATGCGTTTCTCTTTATCTCAGGTTCTAAAAGACCGATCAATGGCTTTTCATCTTCAGTAAAACCTCTCAGCAGAAAGCGATAAAGGATATTATTGCGATAACTTTATTTTATGGAGATTAAAATCTATGAACAAAAGCTTTCTTTCTTCTACGAATCAATTAACCTTGTTTTGTTTATTCGAAACTTGTAAGTAAGATCTGGTTTGAACAAATTATCAATGAAAATTGCTTGTGATAGTGTGTTTGGTATTCTTACAAGCAGAATCTAACAACCTTGAATTGTGTAGCATGTGGTAAAAAAATCATCTTAATGTTCCCGCTAACGTACACGGTACACGAAATGAAATAAGTATGAAACAATAAAATAAGTTGTTCAGGGAAGTACTTAAAGCAAAGAGTCATGATACTTAAGAAAAACAAAATTCTTTACCAATTTAGGACCCTAAATTTCTTAAAGTTTTACAGAAAAAGAAAAGTACTCATCACTTCATCAGAGAGACTGAGAGACATTGTTGGTATCAAAACTCACAAAACTATTTGGGAGTCCAGATCACATAACCCAAAGCTGATTACTACAACAATCGGCGATTACTTGCAACACAAGTTTCAGACATGTGGTACAAATTCCAGGATCCAAATGAGTACGTACACTGAAAAATATACAATAAACTCATTTGGTCGTATCCATAAGATAATATGGAGAGGAAAAAGAAGAAGATTGGCATTTTTGTTGCCGTATTTTCTCTCTATCTTCTTTTCAGCTGTAACTGGTAATAACAAACTGGAATGAATGGAATAAAAGGAATAAATTGATGTGGAATAAAAATAATAAATGGATATGGAATAAAAAAATGTGGAATAGAATGAAAATTGCACTGCATTCATTCCTTAGCATTTTTAAAGTGGAGTGATTTTTTAAAAGAACTTGTTTTTCCTTTGTGGAATGAATGGAATAAGTGGTGTTAGAGAGGTTCTAGAGGGTTCTAGAACATAGGATAAAGATAACATTATATTGTCATATTAGATTCGTATGTTACTTAGATAAACATGTATATTCATAATCCTTATCTGTAAGTATATATATATATATAGGCGATTGCCAATGTGAATAAGATCATCAAGTTCCCATAGCTGTATACTCCTTTACAAGTGGGATAATTTTGTTTTTCATTCCTCATAACTGGTAACAATTTTGTGGAATATCATAGAATTCTTCATTTCACATGATTGTATTCCTAAAATTTACAATCCAATTACAGCCTTAGCCTTACATCGGATTCTTCTTAGAGATATTGGGTTAGGTTAATATGATTCCTCCCGACTGTGAATAGAAATTGAGAAAAAAAAATGTGTATGGTTGAGTGAGTACACAGCCAAACCGAACCCAACCATGATTTCTTAATTCAAAACCGATCCAATTTTGTATAAATCCCAAGATTTTAGTAACTATACCGAACCAACCGGAAAAATTGAGTCTCATGCCTACGACTAATTAGGTAACCACGTCAGGTTCGGGCCGTTCATGATATTGGCACTTTCTTTTCCTCTGATCTGTCTCCAATTTTCAGCTCTGAGCTCACTCTAAGCAAGACCTCCAACCAAAATGTCGTGGTTTAGAACTTTCCTAATGAAAAACACTTGATGTCGTTGTATTCAGTAATGTGTCAAAAGAAATATATAATGGCTCCCCTTTTATCGAGGTAAAATCACTCTTTTAGTTAGAAATTGTGATATTATTTTTGTATGCAGGCTTTTCATGATTCAATCTTTTTGCAGCATATCGTTGACCATGGTGATCATGTGTGTATAGATCAAATTAAGAAAGGAAAATATGACGAAAGCTAGAAGAAAATGTTTAATTGAAACATTCGACCTTTGTTAAGTAATTAGTACAAAAAAGTGTAGAATGTTTATGACTGAGACCGGCAAAATAAATAAGTATGAGACTCCAGAACAAAGTAAGAAAAAGATATTCAAATGTTTACTCTATGTTTTCTACTTCATAAAATACACATTACATTTTCATTGCAGTACTCAAGGGGTTCGTCCGCTTCAGACATAAACGCTATTATGATAGATTGGTTGGTAAATCTTAAACTTAGAGGTTTTAGTTATCAATCCAATGGACTAATTTATTGTCTTTGTGATGTCTACATGATTTTGTAATCAGTAATCTCCAAAGAGAAGCGGAAGATTGTAGAAGAAAAATTGAACTTTGTTATTTCATGTGGGTAATGAGGCCCATTTTTCCTAATTATTAAATTAGATATTTGCAATTCCAAAGCCCGTCCAAACATGAGGAGCACTAGTCTTACCTTTAAGACTTGCGTTATAAGTAACCCATGGTTCAATTATTAATCGATTGTTGCTTGTCGTTGTCAACAAACCTTTGTTGCTTATGATCCACAATATCACTTACACAAAAGAACAAGTAAAAACAAACCATTAGCATGAATGCCAAAGCCTGTATTCCTGCTAAGAGAGCAAGAGCGCAAAGTCTCTGCATATTAGGGTTTTCCAAAATTATTAGGTTCAGACATTTATGCTAAAGCCTAAACTAAGCCCATGAAGAATCTCATTCACAAACGAACCGTTACCACTTTTCGCTCTTTTAGGTGATTATTTTTATGGTTTTTCACAGCGATAGATTTAAACATTTTCAACTATATCATTACATTACATGATATTTCAAATATACACAATTAAAATTAGATGATACATTCAGAAAATCCTCTTTCACAAAAAAGAAAAAGTTGCACTATAAATTTTCTTATCCAATCCCTCGCATTTACTTATAGGTGCAACTTTTCATTCACGTTGCGCTGTGATTTTTTCTGTCATGGCGATATTGGCATCACTGGGATCTCGTCGTTGATGCGATATTGTTGTCATTAAATGGTTATGTGTACTTTACAAGTTACAACTAGACGAGAAGCTTTGCTTCCTTTTTATATTTTTTCCTTTGCAGGACAAGTTTATTCGAAGAACTAAGGGTTGGCTGCCGTTAGCCCCCAAACTATACGTTGTCTACTTATTCCCCCTAAACTATAGACCTCTGCGTATTTCCATCAAAACAATTTTGTATTTGCTTATTCTCCCAAATTCAATTAAAAATTAAAATCAAGATCAATTTACGAAATTGTGTTTTGGTTATATTGCGTTTTGGGAGAAAATATGAAGAAAACAAATTATTTAGGTGGGAATAAGCAGAAGTGTAGTCCAGGAAAGAATATGCATAATTTATTAAGTTCAGGGGGGTGAACACAGTCTATTTAATTCTTAGATTTTTCAGTATATTTAATACATGATTAGCTTAATTATATACACAACATATATTTGTATAGTAAGAGAAACTTATATTGATATGAAAAAATGGTATAGTATGAAAATACATTTATTTAAAAAGAAAACCAAAACTAACATATATACATAAGTATTTTGATTTGAAATAGTAATAGACAAATCTATTTTTCGAGATATATTTGATGTTACATGACTTATTTACTTGACATTAGACAGCTTATTTAATTCAATTTTATCATCCTGTTAGTTCGAGTATTTCGATTACAATCTCTGAAATAGAGGAATGTGTTGTTAAATTAGATCACTAATAACTCACAACACAGATGGGTTAGAAACTTCAAAAGTAGATGTCGTATGTACATCTTGTCCTTAAATTAACATATATGAGTAATAATTGGTTAGGCATAGAGTTGAAACCTCTTCTACGCCATTCATGGTTCGAGTATTTTGATTTTAAGTGCTAATAGCAGGATTGCAGAAATTATAATTCGGGATTTACTTGACATTGCACAACTTATTTACTTGACACTATACGATTTAATTCATATAAGTCTATTATCTTATTATACCAAGTATATTTGTAGTGCTAATAAAAGAAATTATATTTTGGGAGTTACTTTACTATACACAATTTGTTAACTTTACACGATTTAATTAGTATAGATTTATCATCATATTGGTCTGAATATATTAATATAAGTTTATAAAACCCAAAAAAATACTTTTTCCCTACTAACACTTCAAATCAAAATACTTGAACCAATAGAAAGATAAACTTGTATTAGTTAAAATGTCTAAGGTCAAGTATATAAGTCTTATAATATCGATATCCCAAAAAATAGTTTTTGCTATTAGTATTTCAAATCAAAATACTTGAAACAATATAATAATATATTTATGTATGTATAATAACCAATTTAGTTTTGTTTTTTGAAATAAATTATGTTGTCATATTGCTACTATTTTTAATAGAAATATACATTTCTTTTACTATAGAAATATATGTTGTATATAATTAAGCTAATCATGTATTAAATATATTGAAAAATCTAAAAATTTAATTGACTGCATTCAGCTCTCCAAATTTAATAAATTCTGCATATTCCCCCTAGACTACACTTCTGTGTATTCCTACCTAAACATTTTTTTCTGCATATTTACCCATAAAACGCAATCTAACCAAAACGCAATTTCATAAATTGATCGTGATTTTAATTTTAATTGAATTTGGGGGAATAGGCTGATAAAAAATTGTTTGGGTGAGAATACGCAGAGATTTATAGTTTGGGGGAAAATAGGTAAACAACATATAGTTTGGGGGCTGAAAACTGTCCTAACAGTGTGATTACTTGTTAAATAAAAGCCTTAGAGGAGGAGGTGGTGGAAATGGACAGACGAGACTAATAGAGGTTTAGAGAAACACATAAAAAAGCCTCGAATGAATCGTGATGTGTTGAATATCAAATGAATATTAAAAAAAAAATCATTAATCAACACAACAATAACACTAAAGTCTCTCCATGGCTTGACAACTCAGATTTTTCAAGTTACCAAAAACTGACACATCAGCAAAATCAACAACCAATAAAAATATTTTATTAATACAAGTCATTTATTTATTTTAACTTAAAATTTAAACCCATTCAAAACTCAAATAATTTTTACTGTTTAATTTTAGTTTTATTTTTTGGCCAAACCCAAGCTCAAATAATAAATAACAACAAATAAAAAATTTTGTTTTAATTTTTGCCAAACCCAAATCCAAATAATAAATAATAGCAATTTTTTTTTGTCAATCTCAAACAATAAATAATAACAAATAAAATAAAATTTAGCTACAAGTTTATTTGACGCAGACGTGTATGATTGAAAAAAATGTAGGCCCAACATCAATTATACTTCAATGACAACAAAACAAAAAGCCTTATATTATAAAAAGCTCACACAGCAGCAAAAAATTTAAACTAATAAAAACATAACAATAATACATATCATCAACACAATAATAAAATCAGTTTACTATTATGCTTACCCATTAAAAAGCCTAAAGTTTACAAAAAATGAAGGTCCACAACAAAGGAGAAGAAGCTCAGACCACGACAGCTAGGAGATTCGCACTTCCGGTGGTTACCAAGAATAAATCTATAACTTTTTGATTATTCTCCGTCTTTAAGCCTTACATGAGAACTTTTCATCTCTCATGGTTTCAATTATTCTGCTGCTTTGTCTCCACTTTTGCAGCTTCGCAGCTCGGGCTTCCTCTCAGTCATTAGTGAATATCTCAATCTCAGCACCATTAACATCGGAAATGTTGGAATCACCTCTGTTTCCGGCTCGGTCTTCGCTAAGTTTCTCGGGTTTTGACGTGAAAGCAAAATTTCATGGTTTGAACAGGAAAACAAAAATTCTTGGGAAATGAAAACTCTCGGTTTTGAAGAGAAAATGAGATTTTCTGATTTTGGCGTGAAAATGAAATTTCTCGGTTTTGACGGAAAATAAAATTTTTTGGTAATGATGGGAAAACAAAATATCTCGATTTTGATAGGAATTGCAAATTTTTGGTTTTGGTGGCCAATGCAATTTTTCTGTTTTGATAAATAATGCGTTTTCTTGGATTTTCGCTGGAAAATACAATTCCACAGTTTTTTGCGGAAAATACAATTTGACGTTTTGAAAGAAAAATACAATTTTTCAGTTTTGTTAGAAAAACAAGAACAATTTTTCTCGATTTTAACGAGAATAAGGGATTTCTCAGTTTTTGCGGGAATGAGAGATTTCTTGGTTTTGGCGAGAAAATGTAATTTTCAATTTTGGTAAAAAAACATAATTTTTCAGTTATGGCGGAAAAATGCGATTTCTCGGATTTGACGGAAAAAAAGTGTTTTTCCGTTTTGGAGGGTAAACAAAAAAAATCAATTTTGAAGAAAAAACAAAATATCTTGGTTTTGAGGGAAAAATGTGATTTCTCGGTCTTGATGGGAAACACAACTTTTCTATTTTGATGGACAAATACGATTTCCCGGTTTTGATGGGAAATAAAAAATTTGAGCTGACGGATAATGCGATTTCTTGGTTTTTGTGGAAAAATACTATTTCTTAGTTTTCTGGAGAAAATAAATTATGACTATTTTGGCAGAAAATACAATTTTTTGGTTTGATGGGAAATAAAATTTCTCGGTTTTGGTGGGAATAAGCAATTCCGGGTTTTGATAGAAAATACAAATTTTCGTTTTTGACGGATAATGCGATTTTTTAGTTTTTGTGGGAAAATGTGATTTTTAAGTTTTTGCGGGAAAACAAAATTTTTCGCCAGATAATGCAATTTTCTGTTTTTGCGGAAAAATGTAATTTATCGGTTTTTATGGGAAAACCTTAAGTTTGGTTTGACGAGAAAATAGAATTTTTTGTTTTTGGCGGGAATAGACGATTTCTCGGCTTTCGAGGGAAAATCAATTTTTTGGTTTTGACGGGAAAATATTTTTCGGTTTTTTTGTATGAAGATGAATTTTTTTGGCTTTGGTGAGAGAACGTGATTTCTCGGTTTTGTCAAAAAACACAGGTTCTTGCGGGAAAATGTGATTTCTTGATTTTTGCAGGAACATGCATTTTTTTGTTTTGGTGGGAAAATAAAATTTTTGGTTTGGCAAGAAAATAAAATTTCTATTTTTGCGGGAATATGCAATTTCTTAATTTTTATGGGAAAATAATTTTTATTTTATTTTAACGGGAAATGTGATTTTTTCAATTTTTTTAAGAAGTTGAAATTTTTCGATGATAAAATTCCAAGTTACCATATGTTTACAGCAACCAAAATTTAAATATTTAACTTCTGCTAAATTGGTATTTCAACAATTTAAATAAAATTTTCTATTTAGTTCTAAAGCAATAACAATGGTTTTGATATTAATGTTATTGATTATAGTTTGGTGGTTTTAAACATATGTTTATAATAAATATTTGATAAATCAATAAATATTATAATTTAAAATAATCATATTAATTAATATATGTTTTTAAAATGATATTTTGCTTTATATTATTATAAATGAGGATCAATTGGTAATTTAGTATAAAAAATAGATTATATTTGCCAGTAGTATAAAAGTACTTAAAAGTATATTATTTTATTTTTACATATATATTTATAGTTAGTTAATCAAATTTTATAGCAAATTTAAATTTTGAAAAAAAAAAGATATACAATATTTATTCAGATTTAAAACATATAAATACAAAACTTAAGGTAATAGAATAAATAAATATACTATTCATTTCTATTATAAAAATAATTTTATTATATTAAAAATATATACAAACTTTAGAAAATATCTCGGAGCGTAGCGCGAGTAAATACCTAATTCATTATAAAAAGAAAAGATCCATTACAACAACTGAATAAATAACCACATGAAAGGAGAAAATAAAAGAAAAAGACATAAGCATGAAACGTAATTAACGAAAACAATGAACCTTTTGCTCTTATCAAGTCTGAGCATGCAAAAATCCAAATTTCATCACAAACCCAAAAATGCAAACACCGAAGCGGCCACAGGAAGAACCATTCCCCCAAGTATTTTATTATTTCCTGTAAGCAAAATTATTCCAAACATGTGACCATAATACTAAAATTAAAGAAAGGTACACAAGGGAACTAATGGTGCAATTATTATATTTCTTTATTGTCTAAAATGCATTGTATTTTTAATTATTTGAAACAAAAAAATATGTTTTGTATAATCTTGAAGTTACTACAGTTAATATTCTAATAGATTTTTAGTACATAACATGTTAACGGAACGCCATCTAGGCATACTCTATATTATAATTAAAAGTATATAACTCATCAATTTTTGTATATATATGCTCACCTCTAATCGAGAAGGAAGCGCTACGACTCGGCGGTGGAAGCGGCGGCAACGATGAATTGTAGGTATCAAAACTCACCAAACATTTAGGAGTGAAGATCATAGCCCAAAGCTGATCACTACAACAGCGAGTGAGTTCTTGAAACGCAAGTTTTAGACATGTGGTGCAATTTTCAGGATCCAAATAAGGTGTACATTGAACAATAGACTCAAGATCATACAAGTTATCAAACCTAGTCGTATCCATAAGATAATATGGTGTAATCGACGAAGATAACTTAGACGATCTAACGATAACTTCTCCCATTTTATCAGACAACCTCTGTCCAAATTTACCAAATGATTTGGGTATTGGATCGGTAGACCACCAATAGGTACTAGGCTGTGTCTCTAATGTCGAGAGGAAGAACTTATCTGAGTAACGAACCATACAATCGAAGTAGTAGATGACTGCTTCTCGATGGTTACTACAGTTTTTGGAGATCTCGATAGTTGCGGTCTTGACGCAGGTGTTGCAAGTTGTTCTGTTGACGTCTCCTGTGCATAAGAACATCCCATGGACTGTGTCTGAAGCTTGACCTGTCGTGAGGTTGTAATAGTTAGCGAGCGATGATTGGTTGCTAAGAGTGGTGAGAAGAGTGTTGAGATTTGTGTGGTAAGTTGAGTTGCGAGTGAAGTTTTGGGATGATTTGCTGCAGAAAGTTTCCATGTGGTCGGATTCGGATATGGTTTGGTTAGTGGTGAAGAGAAGACATAAGAGTAAAGAGAAGCAAAAGAAAGCAGAGAGTTTCTTAGTTGTTGCCATGCTTTTATTAGGAGACAAACATAATAAGAGAATGCTGATTTATATTGTATAGAGAGGGAAAGTCGTTGATTTAGCAAGTTCATTAGTCTTTCTTTAAGTTTTTTTTTTGGCCTTTGATTAAGTTGTAAATTTCTTTTTTTTGTTCTTTAATTTCATTCGGTTCTCCCAAAAAAGAGTTGACTGGGTGAGGATAGTTCAAGTGGGGATTAATTAAGGGGAAAGTTTAAGTACGAGATGTAAAACATAAAGGATAGATATGTGAAAAAATAAAGAATAAATTAAAATGACACTAGAACCGATAATGTAATTAATAGTAACATATAGCTAGTGTCATATAATAGTAGTCGACAAAAAAATAAGCTAGTGTCATATAATAATCTCATAATCCTTCAAAATTATATGTCTAACTTTCGACGGCCAATTTGATAATTACTATCGGTTTTTCAAAAGAAAAGTGAGTTTATACGTGCGCTTACTTTTCTCGCAAATCTATATTGTTGCTAGAAACAACCCTTATGCATGCAAAGATGTGGTAGATAGTTTATGAACGTGGTGTAAACCGGTTTTCTCTATGGGTCCGATTTTCATTGGACATGATGTTATGGTTTACACTAGAAAAAAAAAAATCCAATAAATACATTCAGTTTAGGAGAACTAATATTACAGTGTTAAAAATCAGAATTATTCCTTGATTATCAACAAAAGAATGTGGCGATGAATAATGGTTAGCTTAAACATTTTTCCTTTTACGGCTTCATCTTAACATGATTTGAAATCACTCTGCCTCTTTCATTCAGTGCATTTCTTTTAAACCAGTGAACTGTTTTTACGACTTCACTTCTCACATAGATCATCAAAACATCTAAAGTAAAAAAGAACAAGAGTACCAAAGAAGCATCATTGCATAAAAGAATTCAACAAAGAGATATATTTACTCTGCTTTTCCACCCAAAATTTCATTTTCTTGCCAGATATGAACATCAGATAAGAGAAATGGAATCTTTAAGTTTGCAGCTAAGTGATTGTTGGTACTAGGCGTGAAGACTCATCCAATTGGCCCAACTCAAATGCAAATATTGGGCTCGGAAGAAAAGAAGCCCACCAATCCAAGTCAATAGAAAAAGGCTGACCTGGCCCATTTGCGAGGAAGCCTGTAGGCCCGATATTTGACATCGCCATCAATGTACTATAAATAGTACTATACCTTGATGTGGTGTGTGGATTTAGAGATCAAATTAACAAAAGAAAATATGACAAAAGCTAGAATAAAAGATTTAATTGAACCTTTCAGTTCCGTAAAGTAATTAGTAGAAAACGTGTACAAACTTTATGACGAGACTGGCAAAATAAAGAACAAAGTGGAAGAAGATATCCAAATGTGGGCATAGAGAACTTCTTATAAAGGAAGTGTGAAATCAGAATTTTGATGATTATACACCTACTGCCATCATCATCATGAACTCGAAAATAGTGGGCATAGAGAATTTCTTTTACTCCAAACTCTTCCAAATGCAACTTGAATAGCAATTAATATCCTCTATGGAGAAGGAGTAAACTGGCTAAGAGAGATATTTAAGGACTTTACGACTTCAGTTATCAGAGAATGTATATGGTTTCACGCAAAAAGCAGAATCGAAACAAGTTAGACTTAATTAAACTAACAAATCAGTTTATAGAGTAGTAGTATTAAAATTTGTATAATGTATAACATATTTTAGCACCAAGAAGTGGCAAGAACAAGTCCTGGTTCATCAACTATATGTTTAATTTATGTACCGGTCTCTTTCCATTTGTAAACAGTAATGTCACTCATAGTTCGTAATGAAGTTATCTCGAGCTGGTGAATGGATACATGAAATTTGGAACATTAAGGGGATTGTTCAAACTTTATTCTTGAAGGTGCTTAGGGCTTAAAAACAGATCAATGACTATGACTTTCTGTAAGAACTATGACTTTCACTTCTCACACAAATCATCAAAACATCTAAAGTCAAAAGGAAAAAGAGTATCAAAGAAGCATCATTGCAATCAAAACCGAACCACAAAGAGATATATTTACTCTGCTTTTCCTAAAATCTCTTCTTTTTTTTACTTGCAAAGATATTAACATCAGATCACAAGAGAAATGGTATCTTTAAGTTTGCAGCTCTAGAACTCTTGTTTGTCTCAGCTGTCTCCTTCATCATACTTGTCCATGTATTTCTCTTCCTCTTATTAGATCCACCAGCTGTTTTCTCAGAAACGCTTTCGGGCTCAATCGGTTTCTTACTTTTGGATTTTCTTATTCTCCTATCCCTCTCCAACGTAAGCATTGGCTTTGGTGTATTCACAGCACTAATCTCCACCTGATCTTTCTCAGATCTTTCAGGTGAAGAAAGCATGCTACTTTGGGTTTCTTGAGGCAACATCATCATCTCTTTCTTGATCCCAGGACGTGGACGAATGGGTTTTGGCTTGGGCGGGCAAATCTCTTTCATCTGACCTCTCGAAGTTCCTCTCTTGAGATTACGGTGAGAACAGAAGCTGCAGTGGTAAACTACATTGTTCTGAGGCAAACAGAAGTTAGACTTCTTGCAACTAATGTGTTTCCTCTTCTTAGCGGAAACCTTCTCGATCCTGACATTGCAGTTGAAGCCGGGCTGAAGAATCGTCTCACACCTACAGAAAACCGTTGAATCATTTACCATAATCCAGTTTTGATCAACCATGGCATTGAAATGGTAAAGATGCTCTCTTTGTGAACATTAACCACGAAGGCAATCAAGAGAAGTCACCTTTCTTCTCCCTTTAGTCAAAGTCACAAACACACAGGACAATGCAACTATGCAACCAAGATTACGTCATTCTTCTGAATTTGTATAATCAATAGCTATAGGATTCTAATCGCAAACCACTTTTAACCAGGAACCAAACAAAACTACTCTTAAATTATTCTAAGCACAAGAAAAGGGTTTCTAGATTGATTTAAGAAACCAAATTGTGCTTAAATTAGGATGTATGGTCATTATGATCATCAGAGACAATAAATAGCTAGCACAGGCCTTGGAGGAAGAGGCAAAAATACCTTTGACAAGTGACGAGATCAGGATTATGAGGAATCCCCGAAGCTTCTCCGTCGGCAGCTAGGCGCCGGCCGAACAAGGCAGCTAGCGACGGGATTGGAGTGTCTCCGCCGGAAGACCAGAGAGCGAGATTCTTCAAGTGGTCATGTCTTAGCTCAGACTTGAGATTAGGTCCTCCTTCAGCTCTTGTAAGCTTCTTAGCTCCTCGTTTCCCCATCTTCGTAGGTCTTCGCCGCAACCTCAGGGAAAAAAATATAACTTGCCCGGAGGATGCTCCGCTTCAATCTTCGCCGATCGGAGCGATTTTCTCAGTTCAATTTCCGGTGGGCTTCGGACACTGGAAGGGAAATTGCGAAAATTAGGGTTTTACTAAATTAAAAACTCTTTAACAATACTTTTATTAAAGCCCGAAAAGTTGTTGGGCCTGAACTTTCTCACTGGATCAGCGATTTTCAAATTAATTACCTACATATGTAGAATATTTTAAACATATAACAAATGGGTCCATAGCTCAGTGGTAGAGCATTCGACTGCAGATCGAGAGGTCACCGGTTCGAACCCGGTTGGGCCCTATTCTTTTGAAAAATTATTTTTTAGCCTTATTTTTTAGGTGAACGTGGGGGTGTTTGTTTTACAACTTTCACTGTAATCCTGTTCTTCACCAACAATAAAGGTTATGCAACATTTGTTTCAATCAACTCTATACAAACATTTGAAACACAATAAAGCAAATCCACAATAACACATTATTTCAGTTTTGTTATCACATTTCCTTTTCTTCTCTATAATAGGAAACAAACGTCTGTGCCGTTGAACCCAAAACAACTACAACAACAAAAACAGTCCACTTCTTGTAATTAAAGACAAATGGGTTGTGGCGTTGAACCACGGTTCTTCCCACAACCGGCAAACAAAAAGAAACCAAATACTATGCAGAATGGGCAGTGAAGTACAAACAATACTAAACCAGTGATGTGATGATGATCAAGTGGCTTTGGAAAAGAAACAATTTTTTGTGATAGACTTGTACAGTCTTTGATCTTAAATATGCAGAGGCATGGATACATACAATGTTTGAGAAGGTGGTTCTTCGGTGAAAGAGCGTGCGGGGTTAGCGTAAAAGATTATGTTTCTCCTCTTCGTGTTACTTACGATGATCACAGAGTGTTTCTTTTGCTTTCGAGCATTGCACCGTCTTTGAGAGAAGCGTGTGCTTCGTTCTCTTGTCCTAGAGCTGACAAGGCTACAGCTTGGAGATAGGATGCGATATGCCAAGCAGGAGATATCACTTGGGCTTGCATCGCGTCGTTTAGGGCCTCTTTAGGCATCTCATTCATTAGGTAACACAGACTCCTCCTTGCATAAACAGTTGGTGAAACCATTGTCCCTACCTCAATGAACTGCAAAACCAAATCATTGAGTCAGAAGCGTAATAGCGTTTCCAAAACTTAATTGACTAGAGAGAAATAAAGTAAAATACTAAAATGCATAAAAGCATTTAAAGATCTTGAAAACCATATGAATCAGGTGAATATGAGAGGTAAAAATCTTGATCATTTCTCTGAAAACCACCATCAGTGAGCTTTTTGCTAATGTTCGAGGATTACAAGAGCATAAAAGATTAACCTGAGAAAAGCATTCGATGGCGTTTGCAAAGTCTTTATGTCGGAATGCAGAATCTCCCTTTTTCTTAAAGATCAGTGTGTCCTGCATCTGGTTGGTCCACATCTGGAATGAAAGCTGAAATTTTTCCAGAAATGAAAACGAAAATGTATCAGATTTTTATAGTGAACCCACAGATGCATTGTAGAATCACAAAGGTTAGAATTAAGAAAGGAACCTCTGTGGCTGCACCCTCGTCATCTTTATATCCAAGCTTTTCAATGATCTCATGTATGGCAGTTAGATCTGATCTTAGGCATGCTTCTCCAAGTGGTGAAAGAGCGGAGGTCGACGCACTGTTGGGTATGCCCATAAGTTGATGAGAAGCAATCTACATGATTAAAATAAATGTTAGAAGTAGTAGCAAAAGGTAACAGAAAGATATAAGTCTCTTAGACGCAGTATCAATAATTAATGATAAAAGCTTGTCAAGCACCTCAAGATCCTTCTGAAGAGGAACCATTGCAGCGACTAACGATTTTGGGTTAGGCCTCTCTCGGGCCTCGTACTGCAAGCATCTTGAAGCTAACCTTATTAGTTCAGTCCCATCGTCACTTGAAAACTGACCTTCCAAGCATGAATCCATCAACATCTGAATGTTCCTGTCTCGTATGAGGTCCAACGCCTACAATACACAATACAAGGTACTGGATTAGCAAGATACTACATGCTTCTCAATATGAAGTTCAGGGAGATTGTTTCCAAGTCAGGTTCCAGTAATAGACACTAAGAAAAGTGTCACATATTCAAAAGGAAATTTGGAAATCTTACATGGCTTGGAGGAATGTGCTTTCCACTGAGGAGGTCCAGCAACAGAGTTCCAAAGCTGTACATCACACTTTCTGGCGTCACGCGACCTGCAGAAATAAGCACAATGCCAAAATCCGTGTAAAATATAGGCTGCAAGTAAAAAGTTTAGGTATTTGCACGATCTTTCGTTAAAAGATACCTGTTCTCAGATACTCAGGAGGAGTGAATGCCAGGTTAGTGCTGTAACTCTTTCCATCTCTACTGTTTTTCATCAGACCAAAGCACGAAAGTCTTGGATTCGCATCCTAAGAAACGAAAACAAAAACTAATTTTCCATATACACTTGACAGGAACCAAAGGTGGAAACGATAATGTATTAAAACTTACATCGTCAAAGAGAACTCTATAAGCATTTAGGTCATGGTAAAGTGCACGCCCTTTGCCAGTACAATACTCTAGCGCCTGAGCAATATGTAAGGCTACTCTCAGTCTCATCGCCCACTTCATTGGTTGTGACTCCCCTGAAACACATAAATAATCATTTTTTGTTTTGTTTTTGTTAAGCATCCATTCAAACTTTCATGTACCAAACAGGAACTTACAGTGGAAAAGATGTTTTGCCAAAGTCTCATTAGGCATGAACTCTGCAACAAGTAGTCTCTCTTCACCTTCAAAGCAACATCCAAGTAGATTTGCCATCCTGTGATTCCGTAATTGACCAACAGCTTTGGCTTCTTCCTGATCTCACAGATTAAGGCCAAAGAGGTTAAAAAATACCTTCTTTATTGAAAAGTGATAACACACAAAACAGAAAAGATCATTGAGTGCAACGAAGTAAAACTTACCAAGAACTGACGAGAATCAGGCCAAGCTTTCCTGTTAAACCTTTTAACAGCAATTCGTCTATGGTTCTCAAGCTTCCCTTTATACACAACATTTGGAGCTCTCTCTCCATGCTCTGAAACTATGTTCTCTGCTGCAAATCCTGAAGTAGCGTTCCTTAAAGTATCGATAGAGAATTCACGAAACTGAGGCAAATCATCTGATTCACCTCTCCTTTCCTCGTCTGGATAAAATCGAAGAACAACAGAATAAGAATTTCAATCATCAAAACAAAAACAAAAAACAAAAAAAATCCCTAAACAGTGTCAATGGCCTACTTACCTAAGCCTGTAACATCAGGATTGGATCTTTCAGACTCTGAAACGCAGCAAAGTGCAGATAGCTTGGAGACCTCACAGCCCATTTCCAGAAAATCTCAATCAAACCATAAACCCTATACTCAATCGAACTTTTCACAGATCAATCCTTACGAAACTTGGTCAGGATTCCACAAAAAGATCGGAATTTGAGCTTTCGATATCCTTCAATCAAACGAGAAACAACACTAAAAAAAAAAAAATTACAAATCGAGATCGAATCGAGAAAATGACTCGTCAAAAGAGGAAACAAAAATTGACAAGAAGAAGAAAATAAAAAAAACAAACGATAAATGACGAATCGAGCGTTCGTGCGTGTGTGCTTTGAGCTGAGAGCTTAGCTCGAGAAAAGAGAAATCTGAAATTTTTCTGCTTGTCTGCTTCAACTTTCTCGGAAACAAGAAGCAGAGAACTTTGCCAGATAATCTTTTTTATTTTTCTCCTTTTTCTACTGAAATAAAAAAGTTTAGATTTTTAATTTCCAAAAAAACGCAAGAAAACAGCAAAGCAGCCGCTTCAAGTCAACTCAACAGTGGGTCAAAAATACTCTGTTTCTTCAAATCACAAAATCTCTACTTTTCTTGGTTGAGGAAATCAGAAATGTATCAGATAAACACAAATTAATATCTCCTCTTTCTCAGAAGATCCCCCAAATAAAAAAGAGTTTACTTTAAACGTAACCAATATATATTAAGTCAGCCATATACTAACTTACAATTATCTGAACCACATATTTGATGTATCATCATGTCTAGTATTGGCCCACGAGGTTAAAATATTCCGTCTTCTCATTGACAACATACTCGATGGATCTTGTCTTGTTGCAGACAACGAGACATGCCAAAGCCATTGCGTTTGTATGCCTTGAGCCGCCTAGGAGTAGATAACAGCCGCCACGTTTTGAAACGCAGGCTAAACGAAAGTTTCTTCTAACCCTTTTTGTTTGGGTATACAACAAGTTAATGCACCACGTAAGTTACCTAGAGGTTTAGCAATAGAGCACGAGAAAAACCAATTTGCCAAAACTTAGTTCGTCAACTCAAGTCTGAAAAGTTTGAAGCGAACCAATAGATGGATCCATGGCTTCCAAATACATATATAGAGTAGTTTATATGTAATTTTAAATCATTGATACCCAAATTTATAAGTAGTTTATTCACGTAAAAATGAATCCGAAACTCATTTTAATCACATGCATCGTTACTAAATTCTGATCGTCTTGCTCAGGAGCAGACCTGAAGATGACAGATGGGCCAGCCCACGTCCCAGTAAGCTTGTCCGTGGCGGTTTCCAATTGTTTTTTTGTCTTTGCAGGCCGGCCTATAAGCCCAAGCCGGCCCCTCTCTTATTTAGTGGGTATGCAAGTTGACCCGCAGTCATATTTTTCTAATTCGGTTTGGTTTCCCCATATTTGATGTTGGTTTTTTGAAATCTGCATGTTCTGTTTTGGTTATCTAATCTCCCGATTTATTACGTTTCTGTCGTTAATCAATCTCCACCGCATTTGCGGAAGGAATCGCAGCAATCGCTACCGCCGATATGAGAAGGAGCATCGAGAGAGTCTTACCGTAGCAAAAGGACGGTGTTGAAAAGAACCACAGGGGAAGCGGCGGTAATTGGACAAGAGACAAAAGACCTATGATGTGGTTTTTGGTTATCCCGACATAAGGCAAATGACGTGGTTTTATGTTTTCACACTCAAATTACAAAACGACGTCGTTTTGAGTAACTACATGTCGGTTCAATCATCAGCAGCTAATGGCCAAACTCACGATGTTTAGAATATTGTTGATTTTGATCGCAATTCTAAATGTTATGGTATAAATTAAAACATTTCAATAGTTCATGTAGTTTTTGGCATATATTAGTTTATGGTAGAATTTGCCATTTTTTAATAGTTTATGTAGTTTTCGCCATTGCTTCATAATTGATGTATGAATAATCAGGAATGTATTAGTTCAAGGTAGAATTGGCTGTTTTTCCTTGAGATATATGTGTAAATCCCTTGTTTTCAATTCAATTCATGTTTTTACGATACTATTAATTTTGACATCTATTTTATACTAGGTGATCGACCCGGGCTATAAAATATTTTATATGTTAAATACATGATTAATATTATATATCAAATATACTTTAGTTGTATATGATTAATTATGTATTTATAACAAAATTATATAAATATTTAATAATTAAAAACAATAATAAATCAAATAAAAAATATTATAGATTTTAATAGAAATTGAAGATAAAAAAACATTAACCTAGATTTTTAAAATACTTCATTAGATAAAAAGTGTAAATATGATAACTAAATAAACTGAAAATATAAAAATATATAATAATTTATTTAATTTTTATGGTTGGCCTGCATGCATGTGCAAGTATAGTTTTTTATTGACATAATAAGTTATAATATTTAAGTACTGCTTAATTTCTTATACATATGTAAGCGTTATATTTTATACATATATAATTTTAGCGTTTAACAATAATCACACAAATATTTCATATCATTTTGTGTCTTTAGAAAACTTATTACGTAAGCGTTACGTTTTTATACATATACAGTTTTATTGTTTAACAACAATCACACAAACGTTTCATATCGTTTTCTGTCTTTTGAAAACTTTTTGTTTTTTCTAACGTTTAGAGTAACATATAATTATAAATGTAAAAGTTATATTAAATAATAATTAATTTCTTATAAATTTTTTTTAATATTATCTATATTATATTTATTTTTTTCTTTGCACAATATAATCTTGTCAGATATTTTAAGTATACATTTTTTTCTTGAACTGTTGCTAAGTAAACCAAAATAGTTTTACCATTACTACTTATCTTAAGAGCGGATATATGGTTGGTCCGCACATTCGTGCATACCAACCACCTCACCACTCTTAGGACAAATAGAGTTTTTTTTGATAAATACAAATTGGCTTATAAGTAAAATTAAAATTGGACTGTAATCGAGATTAAGAAAATGTATGCACGAAAACTTTGCATGCGACTTTGATTTTAAAACAATTAACATTTATATCTACCTGCATATTTGTGGAAAAAAATTGAAGTATGGATTTTATGTGTTAAAAGGAAATAACAAAATATATGTTATGTAATATATATTTTTATAATGTATGACTGATTTTTTTATAAAAAAAATATGTATATTATGCATGTAAGTATTTAGTTATAAATAAGTGAATTGTAATATTTAGGTGTTGGTTAGTTTTTTCTGATACTTTTCGCAAACATTATGATTTTACATAACACAGTTTTTTAGCGTTTAACTACAATCACGAAAACCGTTTCTAACGTTTTGTATTTAATCAAAATTTCTTATTTTTCAGCAGTTTATGATATATGGTTTCTCAATCAAAATTATAAAAGATTTATTATAAAATTTGTGAATTCTTATTTTATAAAATTTTCCGATAGCTCTCTCATCACCTCTTTGTCAATTTTTTTATAGCCCACAATCGCTCGCTTCCACAAACTCTATGTAACTGCAGTGTTTAAACCAGTCGGATCATAAACTCATATTTGTATGGCTGAAAATGTAAAATAATATATTTAATAATTAATTGTTACAAAAATAAGAGTTCTTATGTTCCTAAGTTTGATATATGTATTAATCTTAATATAATAGATCATAACATATACAAAACTTGATTTATGAAATAACATTTTAAGATGTTGCAAAAAAAATATGCACGAAAGAATTAATATGTGTAAGATAATATTTTTAAATATTTTAAAATAAACACATAAAATCGATCAATTATTCTTTTTTGTCTTCTTTGACTCATATTTTTTTTCTTAACTTTGAATAATATATTAAACATTAAGATCATCTCCAATGTATTTTCTATTTTTCCTCTAAAATATAGGTGGATTTCTCTCCAACCTATTTTTTTAATGAAAAAAGAAAAATTGTTACTTTTTCCTCCAATTATAGAAGAAAAAATAACATCACTATTTTTTCTCTAAATTAGAAGATTTTTTAAAAATGTGGGTTTGAGGTGTTTTAAACCAAAGCCATAGCTGAGAGTTTTACAGAAAATCAAAGTCGCAAAAATTCATTTTTATTTTTACTTCTACTTCTTATTCATATGTTTATTTATATCAAATAAAATTTATAATAAATATTTGTTATAAAATTTGTAAAATCATATTTTATAAAACTCTCCGGTAGGTCTCTGCTCATCTCCTTGTCCAATATTGAGAAGTTGGTTTGACGAAGAAAATAAATTTCTTATGGTTGGTCTTTACGCATGTGTTCATTATAAAATTTGAGCCACACATGCGTTTATTAATTTTTTTTTTCAATATTTTTAAAGGACTCCGTAAAACAAAATTTGAAAGTGTTATGGAAAAACAAAACTACAGAAATTTTTTTTTTTCTACTTCTTATTCATATTTGTTTTTTCTTGTTTATATTTTAGTTTTTCATCCGGTTACATTGCATTTTTTTCTGATCTCATATTCTTGAAACAATGAGATTGTATATATGAGTATGACTATGATATAAACTTTTTATTTATTTAAAAAATGATAAGAGATAAAATGAAATGGTAATGTAAGGAAAGCTATACAAATTTCAGAATAAGGAAAGCTATACAAATTTCAGAAAATAATAATATAAAATGTTAAAAAATTATATACAAATAATAATATATTATACTTCCAACATTATTAATATATAGCGTATATACTATCTTATCGGATAATCTATTATTATTTTTCTATTTAAAATTTTAAAATATATATTGGTTGTAAAATTTTTGTAATCATATTTTATGCAATATATTATGAATATATGTAAAAACAAAGTGAAATCATATTAATTATTATTTTCTGTTTATTTAAATTTATTATTTTTAGTGTCATAACCTAGTGTATTTCTGTTATAATTTTATAATTTATTTAATTATAACTCAATCAATCAAAAAATTTTGCTTATTTTAGGAAATTTGTCATGTCACATTTTCATGTCATAATTTCATGTCATCATTAATTTACACTAATTTTTGCTAAGGTGATGACACATCAAATTTTTTCATTAGACATGCTTATTAAATAATAGTTAAAATTAGTAAATTAATGAATATTTTTTAGTAAATATGTCAAATTTAATTTAGTAAATTAAATTGTCTCACTCAAACTAATGAATGAATATTTTTTCACACCAACTCAGACAGCTAAAATAAATTAACTATCGAAATAACCAAAAAAAAAAAGGAGAATACAAAAGTCTTGTCTAAAGTCTGCCGAGAATGCCTTTAATTCAAAAGCTTTCTTCAATTTTCAAAATTAATTTTTAATAATTCCTTTTACTCTCTCTCTCTCCCCTCTTTTGTCTCTTCTGTCATCTTCCCCCTTTTTTCTCCTCTCTGATGTGCATTGCGATTTACATCTCAGAAACCCTAGATTTCGAAATCTAGGGTTTGTTCTGTGCTCTCTTTTTCTTTCTACTAGACTGTAATCATAGGAACAGCTTCACCTATTTCCCTGTTCTTGCTCCACTAGTCATTTCGCAGTTTCAAATCTGCATTTATCTCTCGAGTCCTGAGCTCAAGATTTACTTCTTCTTCTAGGCTTTTAAAGATCAAATTGGATCTTCAGATTAGTCCAGGGTTGCCGAAAATTTTATGGGCTTTAACTTACAAAGTAAAAAAAAAAACCCCAACTTGATTCTTGGGGTTTCTTCATTTTCTTGAAAAAACCTCTGTAAAACCCTAATTTATCTCTCCGATTTTATTTTTTTAATTGTGGCGGTAGAGAGATTTAAAAGCTTATAAAAAAAAAGTTTCCTACTTTGATTAGGACTCTATCTTAAAAAAAAAAATTCTGTTTTCCTAAATCTATCCAACAAAGGAATTTTAGAATTAGGGTTTTAAATGCATGGAAGGTCGAGAAGCAATGGCATTCCCAGGAGCACACCCTTCTCCTTTCTACTTTGCAAGAGGAGCTTTCACTTCAATCCCCGCTTCTCAATCCGCGAGTGCCCTCCACGCGCCGCCAGGCTTTAGGCCAATGTCGAACCCTAACTTGCACCAGCAGCCGCCGCCGCCGCAGCACACTTTTCCTAATTCCGGCCATCCGTTCCCTCCCTTCGGGGAGCAGAGGCATCATCAGGATTTCAGCCATGGGATTCACATGGGCATGGCTTCTTCTTCTCCGGCTATGCAGCCGCCGGTAGCTGCGGCGGAGCCGGTGGTTAAGAAGAAGCGTGGAAGGCCGAGGAAGTATGTGCCTGATAACAAGATTGATCTCGGGCTATCTCCGATGTCTTCTTCTCACAAGCCTAAGAACTCTTCTTCAATGTCTGATCCTAATGCACCTAAACGAGCTAGAGGTCGGCCACCAGGAACTGGGAGAAAGCAGCGTCTCGCTGATCTCGGTGAGCTTCTAATTGTTGAAATTACAGTTAAAAAGAAGTTCAACTTGGTGGATTGATATTAAGATAGTTGGAAATTAGAATATGATTCTGTATTTGAGTTCTGTTGTTCAGACACACCCACTTTGGTTAAAGCAAACTGTCTGATTCCATGTTGCTGTTATGTGAATTCGGATCCAGAAAGCGTTATAACAGAGCTATTTTGGGGTTTGGGATTGAGGATTGAGAATGTGGTTAATTAACTTTAGTGTTAAGAGTTTGTAAGATTGATTATAAGTTTGTAAGATTTGATTAGCTGAGATTAGGACACTGGGACATAGATATAATTCATGTTTGAGACTTTGAGTTAAGAAGTTGCTTGTAGCTCTGTTAATTTAGAGACTCTGCTATGGTTAAGTTGACTGACTGATTTCATGTTGCTCTTGACTCGATGACTCGTGAACCTTAGATAGGGTTTTAGCTCTTGTTAAGCTGCTTATTTTTAGGTGAATTGAATTATTTGTGGTTACTTTTTTGTTATGTGAATTGAGATCCAGATTGTTGTTTGTTAACTTGGTATAAGGAATCATAAGAGACTGTTGATATGACGTGAATTCTCGGCTCTTGTTTTTGCTTGCGATACCTTTAACATGAACTTGATGCTGTTCTCATTGCCTTTGCTTTACTGTTTTAGGTGAGTGGATGAATACTTCAGCTGGACATGCTTTTGCGCCGCATGTGATCAGTGTTGAAGCCGGAGAGGTGCTTTTAACTCTCCATTGTTTCTTTATCATCTATGAGTTTGAGTTTTTTGCTAAAAAAAAGTCTTTTTTTTTCGTTTGTAGGACATCGTTTCAAAAGTCCTGTCCTTCTCACTACAAAGGCCAAGAGCCCTTTGTATAATGTCAGGAACCGGAACGGCTTCTTCGGTGACGCTATGTCAGACCGGATCCTCAGTGCCTAATCTGTCTTTTCAGGTCTAATCTTTTATCAGATTCACTCTCTTGTTTCCTCTCAAACAAAGTCCTCACTCATTCTCTTTTTGTTGTTGCTGTGTAGGGGCCATTTGAGATACTAAGCTTAGGAGGATCTTACCTGGTGAATGAAGAAGGTGGGTCTAAAAGCCGAACAGGTGGTATTAGTGTCTCTCTCTGTCGCTCCACTGGTGAACTTGTTGGTGGCGGAGTCGGAACGCTTATTGCAGCCAGTCTCGTTCAGGTTTCAAATTGATCTCATGTTTAGTAATAACCGAGCCACTTATACATTTAGAGTTGCAGTCACTGAAACTTAAAATCCTCAAGAGAAACTTATCATTCCAACTCAAAGCCACAATAGAGTTGCTTTTGATAGCTTTGGCTCTATGTTGTAGAGATCTTGTTTGAATGGTTTTCTTGATTTTTAAAAATACCGAAACTTGCATCGTGGGTTTTTGTAGGTTGTGGCGTGTAGTTTTGTATACGGAAGTGCAAAGGTTAAAGCAATCAAGCAAGAAAACGGCTCAAAGGAAGACAAGAAGAGCAGAAACAACAGCAACGTGGAGACACCGAAGAGCGAACCGCCGCCTCCGCCTCCGCCACCGGCAACAGAATCAGAAGCTGAAGCGGCTCAGACGCCACCAGACTTCTCTAGTCCAGGATGGTCAGGATCTGGTGGTGGCAACAGATCAATTGACTCGAGAAACCATAACCATCTCACTGATATTGACTTGACACGAGGATGACTCCACCTGTCTTATTCTTACCATTACTACTTAGACCATTGCAGCAGCATACAGAAATCGTGGGTGCTGTACATAAACTGTTGTTGTAGCTTTCTTACTTTTGAATTCCCTTGGGATTAAGATGTCACCGGAGAGAGACTTCAGGATTTGATTTGATTTTTTTTCTTTTATTTTTCTGTCTTTTAACATTTGCTCTGTTGTAACATAGTCATAACCCATTTTCAATTTCTTTAATGAATTTATTTTTAGAAATTGTTGGTCACAAAGCTTCTCAGTTTGGTGTTCTTTGGAATTCTGATTCCTTTTTTTGGTTTTTAGAATTTGCATTGGTTTTGATCGCAAAATCCAACCGTGGTTTGAATACAAATTCCACATTACATTTCGATTAAAGCGGCGAGAGATTTGTTAACCAACAACTTCTGGGCCCAAAAGCCCATACATATCAGGGCCTGGATTAGCGAGACTCTTCCCAAACATCACTCGAATCTTACACTAAAACTATGGTTTAATTAGATTGAAACACTTCACCCTTAATAATAAACTAGTATTTTGCCCCCTGCTATGCAAGGAGATTGATATTTGAGATAAATTAATATAAAAAATCATATGTTTAAAATCAAAACAGTTTAATATAATATTTAAGTAAAAAAATTATATAAAATTGGTAAAAAATAACATGTTTGAAATTAAAACAGTTTAACATTTTTACTATTGAAATACTTTAATTTTGAGAATTGGATAATAGAAAAAGAAAGTAAACATACTTATCCAAAATATTTATATAGATAATTAAACATATAGGTGTATTTTATAATTATACAAAATTATAAATTAATATATTTTAGTGTTTGATATAGATAATTAAACATGTATAAAATGATTTATTTTGTTAATTAATTTTGTCATGAGAAAATATTTATTGAAAGTGTAATAAGTAAAAATGGAAAATAAATATTTAAAAAATTAAAAATAAATGTTTACTTTGCACATCACTTTGTTGTTTTTTTATGTTTCTCAAATCCAGAAAGATAGATCACAGAACAAAAAACAAAAAAAAATCAGCATAATATCTTTAATTCACAAATGTTATCATTATTAAATGGATAGAACCTCACTTTCTACCGAAGACATCTTTACATCTTACCATTTTTGTAATGTTGTGTTTTTGGTTATTACCAAAAAATGTTGTGTTTCTAGTAGTTGTTTCATCTTGTAAATAATCACACTAATATCTGAAACAAAATTGAATTAAAAATTTCAAATTACGTATCTATAAATCTATGATAATAATTTAGATAAAACCCAAAAAATCAAAAATTAATAGATTACCTAAAATAATTGTTTTTTTCTTTGCAGATTTTTTTTGTCGAATTTTCTTTGCAAATTTATAAAAGATTATATGGGCTAAACATTTTTGATATAAATATGATGAAAGTGAATGTAATGTGCTGTAAAGATGGGAAGTTAAAAAGATCATGGGTAGTTATGAGATTGTTTTAAAAAAATGATTTAAAAGATACAAATTTTTGTGATAAAAAAATAAAAGGTAAATTAGTTTAAAACATAAAAAAACACTTGTCAATACCACAATTGTCAACTGACTTGTGCTTTATAAGTATAAAATTTGAGATAAATTAATATAAAAGATCATATGTTTAAAATCAAAACAGTCTAATATAATATTTAAGTAAAAAAATTATATAAAATTGGTAAAAAATAACATGTTTGAAATTAAAACAGTTTAACATTTTTACTATTGAAATACTTTAATTTTGAGAATTGGATAATAGAAAAAGAAAGTAAACATACTTATCCAAGATATTTATATAGTAGTATATAGGTGTATTTTATAATTATACAAAATTATAAATTAATACATTTTAGTGTTTGATATAGATAATTAAACATGTATAAAATGATTTATTTTGTTAATTAATTTTGTCACGAGAAAATATTTATTGAAAGTGTAATAAGTAAAAATGGAAAATAAATATATAAAAAATTAAAAATAAATGTTTACTTTGCACATCACTTTGTTGTTTTTTTATGTTTCTCAAATCCAGAAAGATAGATCACAGAACAAAAAAAAAAAATCAGCATAATATCTTTAATTCACAAATGTTATCATTATTAAATAGATAGAACCTCACTTTCGAAGACATCTTTACATCTTACCATTTTTGTAATGTTGTGTTTTTGGTTATTACCAAAAAATGTTATGTTTCTAGTAGTTGTTTCATCTTGTAAATAATCACACTAATATCTGAAACAAAATTGAATTAAAAATTTCAAATTACGTATCTATAAATATATGATAATAATTTAGATAAAACCCCAAAAATCAAAAATTAATAGATTACCTAAAATAATTGTTTTTTTCTTTGCAGATTTTTTTGTCGAATTTTCTTTGCAAATTTATAAAAGATTATATGGGCTAAACATTTTTGATATAAATATGATGAAAGTGACGGTAATGTGCTGTAAAGATGAGAAGTTAAAAAGATCATGGGTAGTATGAGATTGTTTTAAAAAAATGATTTAAAAGATACAAATTTTTGTGATAAAAAAATAAAAGATAAATTAGTTTAAAACATAAAAGGACACTTGTCAATACCACAATTATCAACTGACTTATGCTTTATAAGTATAAAGATGAAACTGAGATTCAGAGCTCTTAAGTCTAAGTCTAAGTCTAAGTCTAAGACGTAACTAATATTTCCCAAAGTTGGTCATAACTCATAATATTATTCAATACTTAAGTTTAATGTTACAGATAAAGAAAACATAATTGTGATGTTTCAACTATCGACTAACAATATATAATATAGTAATGTTGTAAAACATACGTTTTCTATTAACAATATGAATCCGAGAGTCGTATGTATATTGGTAGTTAGAATGATACCAACTATCATTTAAGATCCGAACACTGTATTTTGGTTATTTGGTATATTTTTTCTTATACTTTGCAAAATTCATAATCGAAACGATTTTTGATTAACTTAGGATGAACTTCCAAAAGGAAGGCTTGTACTAAATTCATTTCGGATGTACTACCTACTATATATACATAATTTAACAACATTTATATGTTTAACATCTAGCTGGAGTTGCATGAGTTTTGTTTTGTGCATTAGATTTTCCATGAAGGAGGAGACAACATATATCTTACTTTTATTTTCATTTCGACATATTCTACTCATTTTATATGGAAACAATTTTCAATCTTTTGTTTTCATTATATATAAGTTTCGCCTGCATACTCTAATGAATCTAAATTAAAACCAAATCAGAATTCTATAGCAAAGATAAGCGATATTTGTTTAGACATTTTCCGATTAATTCTCCTAATTATGTTCCTACCTGATAATGGAGTGATAATTGTATAGAAAACGATCGTAACCTGTGATTGACAAAAAAAAATTGTATAGAAAACGACCTCAAGCCTAATTTAGATAATTATTATTTTTCTCCATTTACATTCTTCATTTTCTTGTCTTTTTTATTTTTTAAGCAAAATAAAGTTTCTACAGATTGTAGTTGACCTTACCATATGGTTAGACCTCTGAAATTTATCGTGATTTTGTTTTCTTCTGATATGGAGGAGTTCAAGTTCTAGGCTGTTATAATGTTCTAATGTTCTAACATTGTTTTTTTTAGTAGCGGTGTTAACTCTGTTAAGTTCTTATACTATTTTCTGTAAAATCTGTTACATAAATCTCCTTTTAGAAAATATTTACTGTAAGAAAATGCTGTGACAAAAGTATTAGAGGATAAATATAAATCATCAATTATTGAATTAAAAATATATATGGAATTTAGTATATATATAAAGTGAAAACCAAGCAAAAGAGAAAATAAAAGAAAAATATGAATAGTTAAACTAAATCCTGCATCATGTAAGATCAAATTAGTAAAAGATAAATCAAATTATTTTTGAATCTACGTATTTTATAAGAATATATAAATTTAATTTTCAATTTCTATATAGTTTATATGCATATGCACTTATACAATATAAACGATAATGAATCAATGGCTGGATATAAAATTTTAGAAGTATCTCAAAATACTACCAGAAACAAAAATCATTTTCAAAAGTACATTAACTCTCAATAAACTATTGTTAACAAAAAAAAATACCTTAAATGTTTTTTAGAATATCCCTGCTTTATGAAAAGATTTGTAAAAGCTATTAAAATATTTGTGGTACATATTAAAAAAAAAAGTACTTGTTTAAGATCCCCTTAATTTAAAAGGGTCACTTTTACATTACTAATATGTTATGTGTTTAACTTTTAATAATATAGACAAATATAGATTTCATACCTTTTTAAGTTTAGTGATTTAATCTATCTATTCATTGCATTTGTTGGTTTCTGTTAGATATTTTTGAAGAAAATATGTAAAATTAAGTATCCAATACCTTATGTTGTGTATTGTGCAAATTGACCTATTATATAAAGAAGCTAGCGTGCGTAAATGCGATGGGAAAACAAACCAAAACAGAAGAAATTAGGACCGAGTAAGAAAAATGGTTTTATCGGTTTCAAAGAGAAAGTCAAGATCTTCAAAGAAAGAAGATCATGGTATCTTCTTCTGTACCAATCTTTTTTCTACCTTCTTCAGATCCATTCTCTATCTAGCTCTTATCACAATTCTCTTCGTCGTTCTTACCTATCTCTGGCTATCTTTCACCACTTTAATCTCCGACAACGTCCTCCATATCTGTGTTTTCTCTCGGAAGCTTAACGATCCTTATTGTCTCACGGCTGGTTCTAAACCCGGTTTTCAAGTTCCCATCAACCTTACAACTAAAAGTGATGTTCTTAGTAAAGACGAAGAGAGTGGTTCTGAAAAGAATGATAGGTTTTCCGGAGCGATCCCCGGAGATACAAACAAGATTCTTGGCAGTCAAGATGAAAGCTTAAGTAATGATGATAAAGATGGAGAAATGGGTTCTGGAAAAAGTTCAATTTTCGCCGAAGAGACCGCCGGAGATAGAATTTCCGAGCATGATGTTCTTGATCAAGAACACAAACCCAAAAATCTTGATTCAGTTCTTGATCAAGAACACAAACCCAAGAATCTTGATTCACTTCTTAATAATAAAGATGGAGAAATGGGTTCCCAAAACAACGATACTTTGGCCGGAGTGAAGGATGGAAATAGAGTTCCCAATGATCCTCCCACCAAGATTTTTGAAAGTGAAGATAAAAAGGAGTATGATGCTCTTGTACTAGAAGATAAACCCAAGAATCTTGATTCAGTTCTTGATCAAGAACCAAAACCCACCAACAAGGTCGATATTGACCTAAAAGCCGATGAAGAATACGACAAATACATCAAACCCAAGAGTGAAGGACAAGGATATGCCTTAAGGGCAGTGATCAAGTATCTTTACCTGCAAAGATCATGGCTATCTCTGGGAAACGACAGCGTTAATAAACCGCGATCATGTGAAGGTAAAGGAGTTTACGTTTATGATTTACCGTCGAAATTCAACAAAGATTTGTTGGTAGAATGCAACGATATACTTCCAGGGGTTAACTTGTGTAGTTACTTCAAGAATGAAGGCTTCGGAGAAGCTATTGAGAATCTTGGCCAAGGTTGGTATGGAACACACATGTATTCTCTTGAGCCGATCTTACATTCTAGGTTTTTGAAGCATCCTTGTAGGGTTTACAACGAGACCCAAGCTAAGCTCTTTTACGTCCCTTACTATGGCGGTTTTGATGTTTTGAGATGGCACTATAGGAATGTTTCTGATGATGTAAAGGACCGGTTTGGGAACGAGGTTTTAAAATGGCTTGAATCAAAGGAATCGTGGAGAAGACACGCCGGAAAAGATCATGTGTTCGTCTTAGGAAAGGTCACTTGGGATTTCAGGAGAGTTAATGTTCCTTGGGGCTCAAGGTTCCTTGAGTTACAAGAAATGCAAAATCCTACCAAGCTTCTCATCGAAAGACAACCATGGCAGGTCAACGACATCGCCATTCCCCACCCTACTTACATACATCCCCAGACAGATGAAGACATCGTTAACTGGCAGATCAAGATCATGACCAAACCTCGCCGGAGTCTAGTAAGCTTCGCCGGAGGTGCAAGACCCGATAACCCTGATAGCATCAGGTCAACGCTAATCGAGCAATGCATATCTTCCGACGAACAATGCCGATTCTTGAGTTGTACAAACGGGAGCTGCAAGAATCCGGAGAATGTGATTGAGTTGTTCCAAGACTCAGAGTTTTGTCTGCAGCCGCCGGGAGACAGCGCAACGAGGAGATCGGTCTTCGATTCTTTAATTTCCGGTTGCATTCCGGTGATCTTTAATCCGTACACGGCTTATTATCAGTACGCGTGGCATCTTCCGGAAGATCATCGTAGATACTCAGTGTATATAAGTGAAGAAGATGTGAAGGCAAATAGAGTAAATGTGGTGGAGAAACTAAAGGCAAAGACTCTAAAGGAGAAAGAGGATATGAGAAGTTACATTATTCATCAGCTTTTGCCTGGTTTAGTCTATAGAGACTCCAATGCTAAGTTTGAGAAGTTTCGAGACGCTTTTGATATTACTTTTGAAAGTTTAGTTGAGAAAATCAACAAATCGAAATAAATATGTGTTTGAGATATATAGTCTTAGATGAACAATGTTGTTCATCATTTTAGTCTATTTTTGTTCAACATCTATTTTGTATTGTTCTTTAACTTAATTACACTTATACTAAAAATAACAAGCCACATAAAACAAAGAATAGTTCTTCAAGTCAACATCTATTTATTGTTCTTTAATTCAACTTCTAAAGTTTTGTTGTCTCTAATAAAATAAACCATATATATGATAAAATATTAGTACAAAAAAACATTTATCTCGATATCCATTTTATTTCTTGTTCATTTCTTACAAAATAATAATATGTATATATAATTATCCACATATAATTTTCTATTTTATACAAAGAATATAATGAAATGTAAGTTTGTCATGATTGTTGGCTTTATTAAGATAGATATCTGGGTAACTTAGATGTCCCTCTAAGGAAAAAGATCATAATATTTTGCTTTTAGAAGTTCACAAACCAGAAAATCTTGAAAATCACAAGTGAAGAAAATAAACAGTGAGTAAAAATGGCTATCTTGGTCTCAAAGAGAAAGCAAGCAACGGCCAAGAAGACAGAAGAGACGAGGATTTTCTGTAACAGTCTTTGCTCTATCTTCAGCAGATCTCTTCTCTATCGAATTCCTCTCACAATTACTCTGCTCTTTGTTCTTTATCTCTGGTTATCTTCAAGCATCATTATCCCCTCGAGTAAGCACAACGATCCGAGTGTTGTTCTTCATAGAGATGGAGAAATGGAGTCCCAAAAGAATGATACATTCGCCGGAGAGATTGCCGGAGATAGAGTTCCAGGCAAAGATACAAAGTGGTATGATCATAAACCTACGAAGGAAATCGAGGAAGAACAATACAAATACATCAAACCTGAGAGTGAAGGAGAAGGATATGCATTAAGGGCAATGCTTAAGTATCTTCAGGTACAAAGATCTTGGCTATCGACTGCAGAAAAACGCAAAAATTCAAGATCTTGTGAAGGAAAAGGAGTTTATGTATATGATTTACCGTCCAAATACAACAGCGATTTGTTGGTAGGATGTACTGATATGGTCCCTTGGACTAACATGTGTAAGTTTTTCAAAAATGAAGGTTTTGGAGAAGCAATTGAGAATCTTGGTCATGGTTGGTTTAGGACACATCAGTATGCTCTTGAACCGATCTTACACGCTAGGGTTTTGAAGCATCCTTGTAGGGTTTACAACGAAAGCCAAGCTAAGATCTTTTATGTCCCTTTCTATGGCGGTTTCGATGTTTTGAGATGGCATTTCAAGAATGTTTCAGTGGAAGTGAAAGATCGGTTGGGAATTGAGGTGTTGGAATGGCTTGGATCGAAGGATTCTTGGAGGAGAAACGCCGGGAAGGATCACGTCTTCGTCCTCGGAAAGATTTCTTGGGATTTTAGAAGAAGCACGCTTCCTTGGGGCTCAAGGTTCCTTGAGTTACAAGGAATGCAAAACCCTACAAAGCTTCTCATCGAAAGGCATCCATGGGAAGTCAACGACATCGCAATCCCGCATCCGACTTATTTCCACCCGAAAGCGGACAACGATATTTCCAGCTGGCAGAACAAAATGAGGAGCAAACCTCGCCGGAATCTAATTAGTTTCGCCGGAGGTGCAAGACCCGGTGACCCTAATAGCATTCGATCATTGCTAATCAAACAATGCACATCGTTTTCTGACCAATGCCAGTTCCTAAACTGTTCTAGTGGAAGTTGTGACAAGTCTGAGAATGTCATAAAGCTTTTTCAAGACTCTGAGTTCTGTCTGCAACCGTCAGGAGATAGCCCAACGAGGAAATCGGTTTTCGATTCACTAATCTCCGGTTGCATTCCGGTGATCTTTGATCCGTACACTGCATATTATCAGTACGCATGGCATCTTCCGGAGGATCATAAGAGATATTCAGTGTATATAAACCAAGAAGATGTGAAGGGAGAGAGAGTAAATGTGATTGAGAATTTGATGGCAAAGACTCTAAGGGAAAGAGAGGATATGAGGAGTTACATTGTTGGTCAGCTTTTGCCTGGTTTGATCTACGGAGATTCTAATGGTAAGTTTGAAAGGTTTCGAGATGCTTTTGATATTACCTTTGATAATTTAGTTGAGAAAATGAACAAGTTAGTATAGAAATTTTGCCATTTTCACCTATTTATTATTAATGATGACAAATTACAACGACGGTGTGTATAATCATATTCAAAATTGTACTTAAAGATATATATATATATATATATATATTTTATTTGTTTATATAGGATCCAATTTTTATTTTTATTCTCAAAGTAAATTTTATTAAAAAAAGGATGTTGTAAAAGTGCTTTGATCAACTTAATGTATAGCTATTTTTTTTATCAACGATTTAAATTTACATAGTAACACATCAATAACAGTAGATGCAACCTCATGATCGTCTTAATTAAGACAATTACATAAGCTAGCATGCTTCGATGGTTGGGAAGATCATGATATACAAAATATACAGTGGTTCCTTGAAGAAAGATGTTAATTATATCATATGGTCATGAAGTGTGTTTTTTTTTTTTGAACAATTTTTTTGTGTGGTAATGAGATATTTTGAAGTGCTTATGCTTGATTGTACATAATTTAGTAGAGAAAATTGGTGGCTTTAGTGTTAAAGGATAACATTTTAGTTTCGCTGTAAGTAATAATGCTGCTATTAATTGGAGCCACAAGGAAAAAATGCTCAATAATATGTATTTTTTTTTTTTTTGTCAACAATCCGCAACAACTCTTTTAGTGATTTCTACTTACCATGCATGCTTATGGATCTAGATTCATAATTTAAGTCGAAGCCAAATCGAATAAAGAAAAATGTCAAATTTTATGATACTATTTTTTATATAGAAAATACTATTTAAGAATTTCTTTATTTTTAAAAATAATATTCAAATACACTAACTTATTACATGTAAAATGTATTTAAGTATGTTAATAATCTGATTAATAAATTTATACTTAATTAAATAATCTTTCAAATACAGATAAAAGTACTTTTGCTGAAAATAAAAGCAAACACACTAGTATTTTCAAAATTATTATCATAAAATTAGTACTTTTGAAATTTTCTTCAACTAATTAATGGATTATTTTTATCTAGAGTTGGATTTGATATGTATATTAGCCGTCGTTCTAAATGAAAACAATTGCATGTCTTTTTGGTTTGGTAACGTATTATTTACAGAGAAGCTAAAATGTTACTTACAGAGAAACTAAAATGTTCTCGTTTGTGTTTTTCCGTAAGACACTGTTTGCCGTTTTTGAACTATAAAACGGCAGAGAGTTTTACAGTGTATTGCAGAAACAGCAAGCGAATTTTCCTTGGTGAGACGCTTCTTCTTCAGTGTGCTGAAACTTTCTGATCCACAAATCAGAAGAAGAAGATGAAGCTGAAAGTGTATGCAGATCGGATGTCACAGCCGTCTCGTGCTATCATCATATTCTGCAAGTAATTTCGTTTGATTCGAGATTCTGCTATTTTTGTTCGTTTGTTTGGATTCTAACTTTTTGTTTGTTTGTTAAGGGTTAATGGAATCCAATTCGACGAGATTTTGATTAACTTGGCGAAGCGTCAGCAACTATCCCCTGAATTCAAAGGTTCCGTAAAGATAATCGACAAAGTTACTTTCTTGTGTTCGACATGAGAGAAGTTTGAGTAATCTTTGATTAGCTTTTCTTTGAAACCTGAGTATTATTTTTGTGTAGATCTACACGAGAACATGCTTGTGTCTTGATTCGTTCTAAAGTTGTCGTCTTGTTTCTCAGATATTAACCCATTGGGGAAAGTTCCAGCCGTTGTTGACGGCAGACTTAAGCTCTTCGAGAGGTTACACAAAGAAATTTTCAATCTTTGCTCTCTGAATTCTTGATTGCTTCTCTCTCTCTGTTGATGAATCTTAAGCGGTAAACTGTATTTTTCTTCTCGCAGTCACGCCATCTTGATTTATCTTGCCTCGGCATTTCCGAGTGTAGCTGATCATTGGTGAGTGGTACTATCATGTTCTTGATACCAAGTGTGATCATTTTTTCAACTATTCCTCGTTTGCTTTTTTTTAGGTACCCGAATGATCTTTCCAAGAGAGCCAAGATTCACTCAGTCTTGGATTGGCACCACACCAATCTACGCCCTGGCGCAGGTGCTTCTGAAACAAAAGATTTGAATACGGTTTTAGATTGATCAGCTTCATGTTTCTTGATTACGGTTGTTTCAGCTGGATTTGTTGTGAATAGTGTTCTAGCTCCATTTCTCGGCCGTGCTCTGAACCTGCAAGCGGCTGCTGAAGCTGAGAGGTTGTTAACAAAGTCTCTGGCCTCTCTAGAGACTTTTTGGCTCAAGGGTGATGCCAAGTTCTTGCTCGGAAGCAACCAGCCATCCATAGCTGATCTGAGCCTTGTCTGCGAACTTATGCAGCTTCAGGTACATGCATATACATTTTCTTGCTGAGTTTGGATACGAATCATATCGAACTTTCTTGAGCAGAAAGTTGATTCATTTGCTATGTTTCGGCATTTGGATTGTATTTTGTAGGTTTTGGATGAGAAAGATCGTCTCAGGTTGCTCAGTCCTCATAAGAAAGTGGAAGAATGGATTGAGAATACGAGAAAGGCGACGATGCCTCACTTTGATGTGGTTCATGAAACCCTTTTCGGAGCCAAAGATAAATTCCAGAAGCAGAGGGAGATGGGAACCATATCTAAACCGGGTCTTCAATCTAAGATGTAAGAACCATAACCTTGTATCCCGGTTTTAGGGATCACTACAGTTCGTTGAATAAATCGGTTAAATTACCAGTTTAATTAAATCGAGTAATGTAACAATCACTTTATCAAGGCTTACATAATTCAAGTTTCCAAATTGTGTGTCTCATATTGGTTCGACCAAAACAGAGCATTTTGAACCTCTTCCCGGAGAGAGCTCGAACCGGTTTTGTTTGATATGGTAAGACGAGTAAGACCAATTTCTCCACAAAATCTACTGCCATCGTGTTTCGTGACGATATTTTACAAAAACTAAATCCTGCAATTTGCTCAACCATAAGTAAAACTTTATTGTATGAATTAAAACATTTCAATTAGTTTGTATGTAGGATTTGGTACGATAGTTCGGTAAATTTACACAACCATAAGTAACACAATTTACACAAAAGTAAAAATCTATATAATGATGTTTTAGCCTTAGGAGAATGCCAAACTAAAACCGGAATTAACTATAGCAAGTGCAATTTTGTGGTTATGGATGAAAAATGCAATTTTGCAGTTATGTCGGGAAAATCCGAAATATCAAAATCATATGTATAATAGTTTTTTAGTAATGATCTAATGAAAACACTTACCATTTTAATTAAATCGAGGTAGGCAATTATCAATTTACAATAGTGGGCGCGGATCGATTTGCTCTATTTTTAATAAATATTTAATTTTATTATTTAATTTGCCCTAAAATATACGAATATCTGGATATTTAGAAAATTTACAAATATTTATAAATATTTATAAATATTTGCGAATATTTGTAAATATTTAGTTTAATCTGTTTAATACATACAAAAATCTGAAAATATATTAACTTTTGTTAAGAAAAAAATATAATTTTCATATAAACTATTAAGTGAGAAATAAATAATTTTTCATAAAAAGCAAATTTACAAAATTAAGATGATATAAAAAATGATATTTTATATTTAAAATAATATTAACTATTTAAAATCTAATATTAAACTTTATTAAAAAATGTACTGATATTTATTAACTAATATAAAATAAAATATCATGTATTAACATATTTTAAGTTTTAAGTATATATTTTATTATTTATTATTTATTATTTATTATTTAGTTATCTATTTAATATCATCAAAAGAATTTAGAAACAGTTGAAAATTTAGAAAAAATTGATAGCATAATAATAAAGATAAAATAAAACTTTATAATATAATAGATATATACATGATAAAATATATTAATATATAATAAATTTATAAAGATATAGATCGGAACGGATATCTGACATTGTCTAAAAAATATTTGTAATTTGCTCTGATTTGTACGGATACTATATTTTACTATTTGTTTTGCTCTGAAATTTGACGGATATCCGAATTTTTCGTATATAATTCAAGTTTCTAAATTATGGCTCAAATTGCTTTGACCAAAACAGAGCATTTTAAACCATTTTTTAAGATAGCTTAAATTAATTTTGTTTGATACAATAAATAAAAGAAAATATAATAAAAAGGAGTTGATAAAAATTAGGTTTTTTTTTATATTTTATCTTATTATAAAATATAAATGGTTTTTTCCCTTTTTTGTGCAAAACAAATTTAACTAAACAAAGAATAACTCAGTTATATACAACAGTTAAAACTAGGTATATATATAGAACACATATATGTATCATTTGTACTTACAAGATATAGGAAAATTTTCTATTTTAAAACAATTCATTTAATTTATATTCTATATGGTATCAAAGTAAGTCGATATATAGAAATCTAATTTTTTTTACTGTTATTTCAATTTTTTAAACTCTTTTTTTTTATTCATTTATACTAAAATATCTCATGTCTAACGATACCGTTCTGGTTGTTGAATTACAAAATTTTCTTAATATCAACATGACAAACGTTATTAAGTTTACCTCATCCAACTTTCTCATATGGAGTCGCCAAGTTCATGCATTACTTGACGGCTATGACCTTTCATGCTATCTCGACGATCTATTGTCATACCATCCCCAACAAACACAAGCAATGGTGTTGTCACCGTCAATCCCGCCTACATATTGTAGAAAAGACAAGATAAACTCATTTATAGCACCTTACTTAGTGCCATTACCATTGCGGTCCAACTGATCTTATCCACCACCAAAACTTCAGCTCAGATCTGGGAAACCTTGTCCTGCACCTACGTAAAACCGAATAAAGGTCACATTAAGCAGCTGAAACAACAAATCAAGAATTGGTTGAAAGGTACTATGACTATTGATGCATATTTTCATGGTTTTACAATCCGATTTGATCAATTGGTTCTTCTTCGGAACACAATCAAACATGAGGATCAGATTGAATATATATTAGAAGGATTATCTGAAGAATATAAACAGATTGTAGATCAAATCGAGGGCCATGATTTTCCTATATCCTTGACATAAGTTCATGAGAAGCTGCTGAACTATGAGGTTAAGCTTCAAGCAAAGGTGGCCAACTCCACTACTCTTCTGATCACTACTAATAATGTCAATTATCGTGACTCATCAAACAGCAACAACAACATAACTCACAATAACAACCAAGGCCACAACCGTAACAACTCTCGTCAACATCAGACATGACAACAATAACAACAATATTCATCTCACAATGATCAGTCTTCTCACAGCTATCAAGGCTGTTGCCAAATATGCAGGATACACGAACATAGTGTCAAGCGCTGCTCACAGCTTTAGAATTCATGAGCCTCCTACAACCAAAGTACTTGACCTTACTCTCCATCTCCAAGCTCTTGGCAACCCCCTGCAAAGATGGCCACAACAAACACATACAGTCCAGAAAATTGGATTCTTGACAGTGGAGCAACACACCATCTCACCACTGATTTGAATAACAGCTCTCTCCATCACCCATATACCAGCGGAGAAGGGGTCACCATCGCCGATGGCTCCAGTCTTAAGATCTCGCATACTGGTTCCACTTCTCTACATACTCCATCTACCTCCTTTACCTTACTGGTATATTTTGTGACTGGCGTAGCATAAGCGATTCAGAAGTTCTGTATTTCGTTGTTCTGTAGAAGCAACGAAGAACAGAGATTTTCGAAGAGATCTGAGGTTCGTAAGAAGCTTAGAGCTCAAGAAAAGTTTTGCTTTAAAAGCGGTTTGATTTATTCAACAAAAACCGAGTCTCCGTTACAACTTTGATTTGTTTAAATAGAAGAGAAGACTTTCTAATACTTATCCTAATCTAAAAAGAAATCCCACCTTAATAAGATAAACTCTAATAACTCCAAAGATAAAACCGAAAAGAATGAAGAAGTAAAGCCATTAAAACCAAAAACAAAGAAGCAGTAAATCCGATGGTTGAGATTATAAGATGCGCTGCATCAGGTCTTCAGGGGTAAGAAAAGATTCGCCTCTAAATCTGGAACTGCATTGTCTCCCACGTACGGAGTGAGATACTTGACATTGAAGACATTTGCCGTTTTCAAGTAGCGAGAAGTTCCAACCTGTAAGCATTTGCATTAATACGCTCCAAAATCTTGACAAGTCCAACCTTGCGGGAACGCAGTTTGTTGTATACATGCAAGGGCATCCGATCCTTAGTAATAACCACCCACACTAAATCACCCGATTCAAGCAACAATTCTCTGCGATGCTTATCGGCTACAGACTTGTACTTGGAAGCAGAGTGTTCCAAATTAGCATGAGCAAGAGAATGAACCTTCTGAAACGCATGCACAAAGTCACTTGCGCCACCATGTAAACGTGAACGATTGGGAATGGTTGTCAACGCTAATGACCGACGAGAGATGAGACCATAAACAACCTGAAAAAGACAAAACCCAAGGCTTCAATTCGAAGCATGATTATGGGCAAACTTCGCTTGCGGCAACTTCACCTCCCACGATTTGACATTCTCCCCAACCAAGCTGCGTAACATATTGCCAATCGCTTGATTAATCACTTCCGTCTGAACGTCAGTTTGCGGATGATATGCAGTGCTTATATCCAGACTAGTTCTCAACACCTTCTAAAGAGATCTCCAAAATGGCTCAAAAATTGCGTATCACAGTCAGAGACAATGGAAGACAGCAACCCATGCAAGCGATAGATATCACGAAAGAACAACTGAGCCACCTCAATCGCATCCATTGTCCACTTACAAGGAATGAAATGCAGCATTTTGGAAAAGCGATCCACCACAACAAAAATGGAGCCGTTGCCTCGTTGCATTCGCGGAAGGCCCAACACGAAGTCCATGCCACGGCTGCGTCGGAACAGGAAGCGGAAGATACAACCCCGCATTCAAAGCATAACCCTTGGTGAGTTGACAAGCTCTGCACCTTTCAACGAAACGCTCAACATTCCTGTGTAACGTTGGCCAAAAATACGAGGATGTGACCAGCTGCAGTGACCGATCGCGACCAACATGTCCTTCTGAATAAAGCTCATGGATGATAAGAAGTCTCAAGCTGCAATCCAGAACACAAAGACGGTTGTCCTTGAAAAGAAATCCATCATGAAGAGTGAAATCTGACCGGAGTCCTTGCTGAACATCATGTAATATCGGCGCAAAAAATGGATCAGAAACATACAAATCAGCCAATGCAGCAAAGCCCATAACAGATGTATGCATGGTCATCACCAAACTATGACGGCAACTCAGAGCATCCGCAATTTTATTCAGCTTATCCGATTGATGTCGTATAGTAACCGTGAATTGCTGCAAGACGGCAATCTAGTTTGCATGATGGGCTGACACCTTGGTGTGACTATCAAGATGTTTCAAGGCATCATGATCGGTATAAAGCACAAACTCACGATGAAAAAAATAGTGGTGCCAATGCTTAATCGCCTGTATGATCGCATAGAACTCGACATCGTATGTACTATAGCGACTACGGGCACCAGATAACTTTTCACTATAAAAAGCCACCGGCTTTGACGGTTGACTCAACACAGCACCCACTCCTAGCTTGGAAGCATCACAATGTAGCTCAAAGGGTAAG